ATTTTTCCCCCGGAAGGGAATGCAAGTTGTCCTGTAGGCAGATTGGTAGCATGCCATGGTTTCCCACATGCTGTGGGCAGGATGGACTGTGGCACACCACACTCAGGGCTGGTGATTGGTGATATGGACTGATGGTGATACCATACCCAGGGCCAATGGACAGAGACTCAGAGCAGTGTAACATCTTACTTACGTGGGAAATTGCTTCAGCTGTTCCTGAGGAGATGTTACCCAGAGGGCTCTCTATAACGCCGCAAACTCTCACCAACACAGTAAGTATGAACAGATGTCAGCAAACGCCGGCGTTCTGCAGTATCCAGCTCTCTCTGGCTTCATTCTGTATAGCTGTGCACAGTAGGAATCCGACTGACTTCTTTGAAGGTCTCGCACACACGTATGGGAGAACATAGCCGATATGCAGCTATGAACAGGAAGGGGTATTCTCCAAGGCCCCCGCTCTTTACCCCATTCCACCCAAACCCTGAAAGAAATAGCTCCTGCGCAGGTCATTCCTAGGTGCAAATGTTTGCCTCTGTGACCCCATTTCCCAAGCTGTTTTGAATGGAAATGGGTATGAAAACCCAGGCAAGTCAGCTTCTCCCCAAAGTAGTTTCAAAACACAACTTGCCGAGCATAAAAGAGAGGGAAAGAGGGTTGTGTTGGTGTGATTTCTGTACACGGAGGCCACTAAGACCAAAAGGGATGGCGCAGAACGGGAAGGCTGAGGTGTGCTGGGCATACCCGGACCCTAGTGGGCCATGCTGGCTAGAGAAGGCATCTATTTGCCCTGCTTACAAGGTGGACAAGGCTGGCTCTGAAACCATCTTGAGGGAGGTGACGGGAGGTCATTCTCTGAAGTGCTGGGTAGTCAGTCTGGGGTACAGCACCCTCAGCGCCATCTGAGGAGGCACAGGAGGCCAAACTCCGGCAAGCCACTGCCACCCTTGATGCATTATAAAACCCACATGCACACACCTCGGCTGAGGACAGCCCAAGCCAGAGAAATGAAACATCAGCCTCGTGCTGCCGCTTGTAGGAGCTAAGTTTTATTGTTTCAACAACACAAAAGGCTGCCATCTCTTTAAATAACAAACTATACAAGCAGATCACAAAGAGCAGTAATACAGATGGTTTCCATGGGGACACACATACAGATTCAATAAATAATATAAAATGCTTGCTTTTTTTTGTGCTAAAATAGAACTCTTCTCTCTCATAGTTACAGATCCATCCATCTCTGTAACAGAAAAAGCCAGGTCTATAGAACATAGAAAAATATAATTTAATAGCTGAACTAAAAAAAAAAAAAAAAAAAAAAAAAAAGGCCAGTGTGTTGAGTTTATAATCCACATGCAATACATAGAACCAGGGGGCAGGTAAACAAACAAAAATCATCACAGTTGACGATTGGAATGATTACTCCACTCCTACCTCATCGTCAAAGACATTTACCTCCAGGGCAAAATGAAAAGGGAAGGGAGGGTAGGTGTTTGTTTCCAGAAAGGATTCTGATGCTGGGGACCTAACTCTACACTATGGGCTTGAATTAACTATGAGCAAGCCTTTGTTCTTCATGAAGGAAGGGCGGACACTTTGAATCCACTTCCTGCGGGAGACTGGGGGGGGGGGAGTCTCTGTTTTTAAGAATGGCCACTTAAAATGTGTGGGGTCTGCATGTCTCGGGGACACAGCACCTCCACGTTGCTAGCAGGAGGGGCCACAATGCAGCAAGTCTTAGTCCCTTAGTTACTTATCTCCATGGCAGACTTCCACTACGTAACCCAGGCTGTCCTGGGACTTGCCATCCCCCTGTCTCGGTGTCCCGAGCATAGGGTGTGGGATATGAGAAGCCGTGCTCAGTTCTCTCTTGTTCTCTAAGGAAAGGAAAACCTTAGTGTCCGTCTCAACTCAGGAGATGAGGCTTGCAGCCCAGCCTTCTTCATTCCACAGCAACAAACAAATGAAAAACAGGCCTGAATAAAAAACAATGGTATTAGCGCAAATCGAGCATTTAAGATGTCCGAGTAAACCTCACTCAGGAAAAGAAATTTTTTTCCCTTTATTAACTTTGAAATTTTAAGTTATGAAAAGCCCAAGTGAGAAATGGAGTCAAATGTGCAGAAAGGCCAGGGTTCCCTAGAACCAAGCTGGACAGCTCCCCACCATCCCCCACCCACCCAGGCAGCACATTCAGTAGCAGTGACCAGGACACTGTCTCTCTCTGCCTGGGCTACAAAGCACTCAGGGAGCAACTCAGCCTCGGGAACAAAGCAACCAAGCCTTGCAGGCATCACTTGGGAATTCCCAGGGGACCTCCCAGCAGCGTCCATCATTCCTCCCTCGGTGTTCTGTAATGTCAGGAGAATGGTTTCCATCAGCCAACCGAGCAAACCTTCTCCACCTGCCCTGACCCCACCACAGATTCTCCCTGGCGTCCACCGGCCTCCTGGGGATCTGAAATGGCCCAGCTCCTGTCCTGGGGAGCTCTGAGCCTTTGCCACACTGTCCACTGGTGAACGAGTGTGGCCAGTGAGGCCTCGGAACAGCTGCTTCTACAGGCACACGGCCAAGGTCAAGGGGCACGCAAGCTAAATCTTACTAGTTGGCTAATAGTGGGCTTCCCATCCTCCATGCACACTGGGGATTAAACCCAGGACCCTGGACAGGGGAGGCAAGAGCTTGGCCCCCAGAGCTACCGACGCGGCCCTTGGTGTTCTGAAGGCAGGGGCCTTGCTGTGTGGCCCAGGCTAGCCTCAAACTCATAAGCCTCCTGCCTCTGCCAACTAAGTCTGCCCAATGATGTCTGTCTGGAAAGGATGTCGTCTCTCCCCAATAGGCCACCATCCACACTTCATGGCTGGTTTTACACAGTTTGTAACATCAGCCAATGGGACCATCATTGTGCAGGCCCCTGCATCAACAGTGGGACAGGTTTCCCTCTCAACTGTGACAGTGATGCAATTTCTACAGGCTCCGCTGGGGGCGGGGGACCTAGAACATGGCCCGGGGAGGCACAAGCGGCGTGGCCCCAAGGCTAAAAATGAAATAAACCGGGGTTTGCCAAAGGTGTGTGTCACATAGCTGCTTTGAAATGATCTGACGCTCTTGTGTTATGAAACTGAGGGTTGACTGTACAAAAACAGCATCACCTGGAGTATCTTGGATCACGTTAAGTACTCTGCCCCAGAAACCAGAATAAGGAGAACACACGGGTTTGTTCTGTGAACGGTACAAGAAGCACCTGGCATCTAGGGATCCACCAACAGGACGGGAAGACTCTCAAACAGCCACGCACTGTAGACTCTCCTTCCGCCCTGTGGGCCCATGACACCTCCTCACCTTGTGCTTGGGTGGAAGGACCTGATGTCCCATCATCCAACCCGTGAGAATCTTGAGGACTACTGCAAGAGCCATCGGCCCTCCCTCTCCGCTATGTCCTCATGAGGGAAATGGGGTTGAGGGGATACAAAGGTTTACTTGGAGTTAAGTCTGAGGCAGGGGGACTCTTAGGAGACACCCCCCACACAAACACAGCTCCTTTTTTAAAAAGGGGGAGGAGCCTTAAAATCGACTCCGCTAAAACAGTAACACAGGCTGTCTGTGAGAGTCTGCCTCGATATTATTCAGGCACGGGATCCGCAATCCTGCGTCATCTTCTAAAACCCTTTGGTACAGCTATAACCCCGATACAAGATTTAGTCTGGCTAGCTCAACACCGGTCGGAGTCAAGCCACCCTCCTGGGGGGGCAGGGGAGTCTTGGACATTCCCTGAAAGAGGCAGAGAGAGATGCAGACCCCGGCAGGTCTGATAGAGCTTGTGTGAGCCGCCCATCCCAGCCACACCCGCACAGCAACATCGGTACTTAACTACACATGCATTTGTGCCATAGAAACTGAAAACTAGTCTCCTTAGTTAATCAAGCAGGGTGCCCACGCTAGGTCACAGACATATTCCCACACTGAAGGCAGTGACCATGGCACATGTATGTGAATTCAAACCCAGAACGGGCACTGAGACCCGCAGCTCGCCACGCACCTGCATGGGCAAGAGACACGTTATCTTCCAAACTCTGAAAGGGTAATTGCGATCTAAACATAAAATAAATAAACACCTTGTTTTCGCCAGCACATAAACACGAGAACACACACTCGGTACTGGTCAGAAAGACCCATGACAGAATGCAGAGTTTGGATGCCAGGTTTCTTTATGTGCTCAGCAGCTCCTCTAGCGACTCTGTAACACAGCCCCTAGGAAACTGGACAAATCCTCGGAGACCTTCAAGGACTCCTGCTCCAGTGTGGTGGTATAGGGACCCAGAATTTATTCAGGGCAGCAGCGGAGGAAATGATCTTTAGGGGGGAAGAGTGCTGGGCAAACTGTTGCCCGGTCAGGAAAACCCAGTGCACAATGCATTAACGACGGAAGAATGTAGGCCATGCCAGGGTGCACAGGAGACCGCTGGACAGAGTCAGCCACTGGCGTGAGTGCATTGTAAAGTGTACTGAAGGGCATGGCAGCAACTCTTCTCTGCCCTGGCCACATCTTCAGACATGCTGCCCAGGCCAGGCAGAGGGAGCAGGAGGACTCTCTCACAGATCTGCCCATCATGGAGACCCTGAGCTTATGCACACGCTGCCTGGTGGGTTACCTACATCCTGCTTGACTGGAAGTCCTGGGACATCTCCTCTGGTCATGTTGACCGGAAGTGGCCATGATGGATGCCATGGCGGTTCCTCGAGGGGACATTCCTACCCCTGCCCTCTGACTGGCATCCTGGAGCAGAGCCATCGGAGGCAGGCAGTGTACGTGGTACTCAGTGCGACCTCATCACCTCTGGGACAGCGGAGTTACCCCTGACCCACAGAGACCCTAGGCTACTGTGCCTCCTCCAGGATTTGGAGGCACAACTCCCAGTCTTCAGGCAGGCACTCATATACATGAGTGCGTAGGACAGCCCTGGACACTGTGGTCCCACCCTGGATATGTTCCAAGCCAGACATAAAAGCTTGAGTGGTAAGGCTCATTTCATGTCCTGAGTCCATGGATACCAAAGCAAGTGGGTGGGCAGAGAAACTCCTTCTGCTTCTCCTGTAATTTCGCATGTGGACAGGCCAGCCCAGAGGATGTCCCAGCTCCTGCAGGGCCATCTTGGTGTCATGGGCATCCCCAGCCTGGAGCAGCCCAGTACTCAGAACCGCTGTGTCTCAGCTCCACACGGCTCCCCGTGGCCCCACTCCACTCCTGGGCTGAAGTGCTGGGGCCCCTCCTGGGGGCCCTGCTGCTCTGTGGTTCAGAGGCCACTGCTATTCCTGTGGCACAACGGTGGCTTGGAGAATTCCAGGATGGTGGTCCGGGGTTTGTTGAGGAACTTGGGGGCGCGACGCAGCAGCCTCTGGGCCTCATTGAAGGTGCATGTCAACTCCTTCAGCCACTGTGCAAACTCGGGGTCACTCTGCAGAGACACAGGTAGGAATTGGGACGGGTCTGCCCATCTGACAACTGACTAAGGTCCCTGGAGCCTGAAAGAGGATACTCCCTGCCTGCCGGCCCTGAGCCTTGCTTGCTTCTTTCTACCTTCAGGCCCCCTGGAACCTGGTGAGAAACTCCAGACAATGGGAAAGCCAGTTCTGGGCTCTCCCAGAGGATTTTCTGTACCCTACAGACTGCCTTAATCTATTTGGGGGTTTTCCCTGGGTCCTAAAACCACAGACCATAGAATAATAACGGAGAAGAGTTGCTTCTGATGCTGTTAAGGCACCCTCTCAGAAGCTCCTGTGTCTGCCTGTAATCCCAGCACTGGGGAAGCCAAGTCAGCAGACTCCCAAGTTTCCGGACAGTCTGGACTACATAACAAGACCCTGTCTCAACAACAAGCTAAAGGGTGTCCTTGCTACCGTTTCTCTCCCTCTGCCCTGTGAAACACCTGTGAACACACACCCCAGTACACTAAGGGGAAGTACTTGAGCTATATAGTACAACTCAGACAAAAACAAAGACAACCCTCCTCCCCCTCCTCTGAAAAGTCCTTTTGGAATCTCAAAGACAAGAGAAACAAATTAGCTAAATGTGGCTTAATTTACCTAAACCTCAGACTCTGCTAAGTCTGTGCCAGTGGCAAGGAGAAGCCTGGGAACCTGGTGAGAGTCCTGGGCGTATGCCCATCCCTGTCTGCTTTTTTTCTGGGGAAGGTCAATAGGAACTCACCTCGCACTGCAGGACAAACTGCTTCCCTCCTTTTATCCTGAATAGAATGCATTTTCTGTCTTTAATCTGGGTCTCTTCCACAGACAGGATCTGATCCATGGTCAGTAAATTTTGCTAAATACAAATGGGAAAGTTAACAATTACTTTGCTCCTTCGTGATCTCTTAGGGGTAAATTAAAGAGTGCATTTCCAAAAGCAAATGGCATTTCCTTCCTTCCTTCCTTCCTTCCTTCCTTCCTTCCTTCCTTCCTTCCTTCCTTCCTTCCTTCCTTCCTTCCTTGGCTGGTAGTAGTCTAGAAGTGAGGAGACAAGAAGCTCAAACTAAGGAGGGGAGCAACTCTTCTGTGGAGGCCCATGAGCCTGTATTCCGGATTACAGTGCTGGCCTGGGCAGCCATAAACGTGCAGGCCATGATCCAGGAGCATCTATCTGCCCCTGTCTAGACATCAGCAGGAGAATTGTGAGCAACAGTGGCTGACAGCTAAGGCGTGGATGGTTTAAGGTCCACATCCAAAAGACCTAAATACAGGTGGTATTCTTGCAGGATCCTTACAACAGATCTAGTGTGAAGGACTGTGTGTGTGTGTGTGTGTGTGTGTGTGTGTGTGTGTGTGTGTGTGTGTGTGTGTGTGTGTGTGTGTGTTTACATCTTAGAAAAACTCCACGGGAATCTGGAGTGAAAAACATCACAAGAAACTCCCCTGCTCTCTGTCCCTCTGTTCACTCTTACAGATCTACCTCCGGCATTGTCTGGCTTCACACAGAATTTCGCTCAGTGTCAAAAGAAAAAATAATAATAAAAGATACATTGTTGCAGCCAGGACAGTTTGCTAAGGTCTAGCACAGCCAGGCTTGTGAGGATTGCCAGCCCAGCCCCCAGGAAGACTCTTCAATGCCTGCCAGCACAGAGCTGCATCTTGGGGCACCCACAGAACACCCGATTTAGCTCATCAAATCTTAGAGATTTTAATTTCAAAGGGCCTTGTGGCACAGGGAAGTGACCACAGGCTATCAAAACCACTCAATAATGGCCCCAGAGTTCACCAGCAGTTTCTCAGAAACCATGACCAGAAGTCAAGACAGAAGAGCTGAGCCACCTGCTCAGGTCTTCAGACTCTGGGAGGCTACTGAATATCCATTCTTGCCTCCTACTACACAAACCATGTCCTGAGTCCAGGGGCCACGGCCACACTCACAGCGATGAACCCTGCCCACCATCTACCTAGGTAGACTCCTTCCTGGGCCTCTCACACGGTGGGTGTTTAAGGAAAGCTGCCTGCCTTGTCCCTTTGCTAACATTAGCTTGAGAAAGGGTCTGAGAGACTGTGAGATTCACCTACGGAATCCCAGCAGACTTCAGACAGCCTGGGTCAGCATCGTAACCACCCTAAGCAGATCCCACAGGTGACATTCATCTGCTCTGACTGGGGGTGAGACCAAGAGAGTACAGACAGACCTGGGTCAACAGCCCTCCCTACCCACGCACACACCAGGCTGGCTACCCTGGATCCCTCTGAGTAAATCCAGGGCTGGACTCTGGAAGCTGCCAAACCATTTGAGTTTGCTCGGGTGATTATGCGGTAATCATGGGAGCTGCGAGCCTTTCTGTGTTTCCCCACTTCACAGATGTGGAAACCGAGGCCCGGAGATTCACCTTGGGCTGTCCAGAGTCCTGTTTTGGGGATCTCCATCTCCTGCTGTTCCCCCACCCCACCATCCCCCCCTCTATCATCCGCTGACCCCCGGGGGCTGCTGGACTTGGGACTCCCTCTTCCAAATGACACCTGCATCTCATTCCAGGAAGGGACTTGACACGGAATCATAAAAGTTAGACCACAGCAACCCTTGCTTCCTCCACACGAGAGACACGGGTAGGAGGCAGCGTGAGGGAGCCGCTGAGCCCCAGCGCCGCGCCCAGTCCACCCCCAGAACTCACCCGAGAGTCGCCCTCTCCTCTCCACTCCAGTCGGTTGGGGAAGAGGTAGAAGTAGCGCCTCTGCCATTGCGTGAGGAAGGGGTTCCCCAGCTTCAGCATGAACCCATGCATGATGCAGTCCTTCCCCAGGGCATAATCTGAGGGTGGAGACAGCCGTCACTCAGGTCCTGCGCCAACACCACTAATGACACAGGCTCTGGGGCTGGAGAGGGGCGCCCGAGTCTCTACAAAAGCAACTCGTTTTAAACACCGTGACCCCACATGGGACTGGGTTGTGGGAAAGGTTCCAGGCTGTGTTCAATCCTTCCTTCTTAGCATTTGCACCTGCAGTGCCTACTGGCAACCCTGACTGGGTAAAGATTTTGTTCCCAAACTACTAAGACTGTTCAATCGAGAATTCTCTCCCAAGTCCCGTTGCCACTGGAGGGAACTGTCCCTTAATCCACTTCCATCCTGTGAATCATTCTGAAGCCAGGCCCTTTCCCCTCCAAGGTTAAGGTGGCAGTTACAGCAGGCTCGCCCTCGGCTCACGGCCCACAAAGATGGCGGAGTGAAGCAATTCAGACTTGCGCTGACTGAATGTCTAAGGTGGTGGTGATGTTTCACAACACCCGTTAAAAGCTTTGGGAATCAAGTTAAAATCACTCACTCATCCGTCAATCAACCCATGATGCCACTGGGTGGGGGGAGGGCTAGGCACAGGTCTGTGTCTGGTGGGTCCAGTGAGGAACAACAATAAAAGAGATAAGAATCTGCCTGTCCTTGGGAATGTACAGTCTGGAGACAGTCAGACCACCCCGAAAGGGTGAGACCCCCACATGCCATGCCCCCGAGATAGAGAAAATGCGGTAGGGGTAGGGACCACAGAGCTGCCCTCCTGACATGGGCTTGCATTTCCAGGCAGTTAAAACTCGTTACTGACTGCCTGTGTCTCGGACGCAGGCGCCTGCCCAGTACATTTCTGTCACAGAGACATCTGGAATCTCACTGGCTGGGCCTGTTCCGGACTCACTCTGCAATGCTCCATCTCCAAGGACTAAAATTCCAAGGCCGCCCCCCCAAACTTTCGGGGGCAGGTAGACCCCAGAACTCAGCTAGCGCTGCCTCGCTCGGTGCATACTTCAGAAACTGGGCTCAGCCCTTCCAGTCCTCATACAATCCAAGTCTGGCACACCCTCCCCTGTGATGTCACCAAGCCACAGCCTTTTACCTTCCTCCTGACCAAGTTGCTTATTTTTAGCCCTCTTCCTGGCCTCGATTTTATCCGTGTCGGCGTTGACGGCGTCATAGATGGTCTCCACGACTTCCTGCTGCCATCGCTCGGAGATCACCAGTGGGAAGTTCTTATAGAGGTCCTGGTCGCAGTCCAGCAGCTAGGCATGTAAGGATAGAGGGGGCACATGCTCTAGTGCCTTCCATGACCACACCTGGGAAGGCTTCACCAGGGTTCCAGGCCAGACAGCATGGATGGACCTGGTCTTAGCTAACACTAGGGTATTTTTTTTTTTTTTTGACAATGAAAACCAGTGTATGTTGACTTTTAAAATTGTGTTTGTGTGCATGTGTATGTGGTGTATGTGTTCCTGGGTGTGGACATGTGTATGAGAGTGCATTGTGTAGATGTGTGTGTGTGTATACCTGGGTGTGTGTGTGTGTACCTGAGTGTGTGTGCAGCTGAGTGTGTGTATAGCTGTGTGAGTGTAGCTGTATGTGTGTGTGTAGCTGAGTGTGTGTGTATGTGTGTAGCTGTGTGTGTGAGTGTGTAGCTGAGTGTGTGTGTATGTGTGTAGCTGTGTGTGTGTATGTGTGTGTAGCTGAGTGTGTGTGTAGCTGAGTGTGTGTGTATGTGTGTAGCTGTGTGTGTGTATGTGTGTGTAGCTGAGTGTGTGTGTATGTGTGTAGCTGTGTGTGTGTATGTGTGTGTAGCTGAGTGTGTGTGTAGCTGAGTGTGTGTATGTGTGTAGCTGTGTGTGTGTATGTGTGTGTAGCTGTGTGTGTGTAGCTGAGTGTGTGTGTATGTGTGTAGCTGTGTGTGTGTATGTGTGTGTAGCTGTGTGTGTGTAGCTGAGTGTGTGTGTATGTGTGTAGCTGTATGTGTGTGTAGCTGTGTGTGTGTAGCTGAGTGTGTGTGTATGTGTGTAGCTGTGTGTGTGTATGTGTGTGTAGCTGAGTGTGTGTGTAGCTGAGTGTGTGTGTGTGTGTAGCTGTGTGTGTGAGTGTGTAGATGTGTGTGTAGCTGTGCATGTGTGTGTATAGCTGTGTGTGTGTGTGTGTGTGTGTGTGTAGTTCTGTGTGTGGGGGGGCAGAGGTTGGTATTGCTGCCTTTTACTATGAGACCATGTTTACATATTTACATGTGGGGGACAGTCTCTCTCACGGAGCCTGGAAGTTACTGACCGATGAGACCAGGCCTCCTCTCGCCCCGGCCCCTCTTCACTTCCCACTGCTGGACTACGAGTGTGCACCGCCATGCCTCATCTTTACTCAGGTGCTCACGAGCAGCAAACCCTTGACTGTGGGCCCCGCCCACCCCCAGCCCTCCACCCTGATTTATTTAGACATAGAGGACTCTGACAGCCAAGTAGACTTTCAGCCGTGGGCACTGTGTTTATAAAAGAGGGGACAAGGGACTCTGATAAGGGGAAAAGCCAGGCCAGCTCCCTCGTATGATCTGAACGAGAGGGAAAGCTTGCCGCAGGCTGGATCAGCGAGCGTCTCACAAACTCCCGACTCACCCACCACTGGGACTGGATGGACATTTAAATGTAAGTGGCATGGAGTATGGGCACCCCAGTCTCTGAGGGCTGCAGACTGGGGTGTGCACTTCACAAGAGCACTATTCTTTTACTGGAATGTCTCTGTCTGCCCTCTAAGGCAGGCTGTCCTGGGAATCCAGGAGAAAAAGTGACTTTGCTGTAGCTCAAACCCAGGTGGAGGGAGCTGCACCATTCCTGTAACCCCCATCATAGTCTCCAGGAGCCTCCGGCTCCGCCCTGTTCCCCCTGCCCACAGCTGCCTCCTGCCTGCCTGCCTCTGGACTGGGACTAACAGAGAGAGCAACTGCCTTTGTGGGGATAAAATGGAGAGGCAGAGCTGGGATAAGCCACCGGAGTCAGGGGCAGATGACGGACTGGGAGGCTGGTGTCGACCCGCTGACTTAGCAGTTTAAAAGACGACAATTTTCCTCATGACTCACTCCCTGTGGGTATGTCTTGTCTCCACTTGGGAAAATAGAGTCACGCACCAAAGTCTGAAAAATTGCAGAGGATGCTAAGACCACGATCAGTCAGCCCCTGATTGACACGTGCTAAGAGATTTGTTCCCTCCTGACACATGCAGGCCTGAGGCCAGTGGTTCTCAACAACCCTTCCTGGCACCGGGACCCTTTAATACAGTTCCTCATGTGGTGGTGAACTCCCAGCCACACATTATTTAGTTGCTCCTACATGGCCATAAGCTTGTAACTGCTATGAATCGCCATGTAAATATCTGATATGCACATGGTCTCAAGGGAACCCTGTGAAAGGGTCATTTGACTCCCAAAGGGGTGGAGACCCACCCACAGGCTGAGAACCAAAGTCCTAGGCTCAGAAGCATGAGAAGCATGGATTCTTCTGCTCTGAGTGGAATGTGTCACTCAGATGCAAGTCAGAGGCAAACGCCACACATTGTAACAATGTGAGCACTGTGCCACCCATCAAAGTGAAATGATGGGGTGGGGGCGGGGGATGAGGGGCCGGGTGAGAAAGCTTTGGCTGCTGCTGCTGAAACTAAGTGCTTAATACTAAAACTATCACTAAGTGTAATGGGTTCTCCTCTCCTCAAGCCAGGAAGGGTGGGGTGGCCTGTTATCTCAGCATTGGGAGGCTGGGTTCAAGGCCTGCTGCCATGCAGGATGCAGAGAGTGCAGGGGTGGGGATTAGCTAGGTGGTAGAGTGTTTGTCTAGCACTTACAAGGGCTCCAGTCGATCCCCAGCCCCCTCCACACACAGCGAATCTTAGCAGAAATCCCACACCCAGAAATGTGCATACCTTGATGCCTTTCGTGTCCTCTTCATCAAACGAGCCAATATCAAAAGCGTCTGCGGCGTTGACCTCTCCCCGAGGAGGGATTAGAGGTGGTGGGTACTAGAAGAGCCAACAAGTAGGTAGGACCCAGTTATCAGCTGCCCTGTGTGTCCCCAGCCCAAGATAACACTCTATAAAAAGGACATAGCCCTGCTTTCAGAAAGCGTGTGTCCAGAGAGCAGAGCCCACCCAGAGCCTCACATCACAAACCCTTATGAGTGCTGGCTTCACTGGGTGATCTGAGCACGGCAGGGTGGGCATGGAGTCCCTTCTCCCTGTGGAAACTGCTATCACTGCAGCTGAGCTTCACACAGAAACACATTTAAAAATTTTCAACCAACCGGGTGTACCAAAGAGAGTACAACAAAGCTTAAAAATAAGGGTGGGGGGGGGTAATGCGTGGCTCCACGGGAAAGTTTCCGGCTCTAGCATAATACAAAAGTTTTAAAAAGTAAAACAAAAACAAAAACAAGCCAGGAAAGGGCAGTATGGGGCTAGCAAACATCCATGTTCAAGTCAGACGTTCCCTGAACGCTGAAGTCCGACTCTACGCAGGTCTCAATTAGCTGGATAACTGCTGCCTTCTCCTAGCTGAGCCGTCTATTCATTTGCTGAGATGATACTGCCAAATTTTTTACACGGTCGCCCCTCAGCACCCGCAGAGGACCTTTCCAGGCCATCGCGTGGCGTGGCTACAAGGTCCGCCGGAGGAGTGGTCCTCAGATACAACAGCCGGGGTTTGTGCAGAACCTGCTTACTTCCTCTGTAGACTTTAACCTCGAGGTGACAGCATAAATGCTCTGTAGGTAGCAGTCGGGCTGTGGAGTCCATGCGTGCTCCCTACACTAATGGCTTTTTGTTTTTGTGGGTTTTCCCCCCCTGAATATTTTCTATCCATGGTTGGCTGAACCACAGATGCAAAATCAGGCCTATCTGGCCTGTGTGAGGAAAATGAGGAAGAGCCCCCCCCACCCTGTGGAAGTCCTCTATGTCCACATTAGGCACGACAGGGCTGGGGTGGGCACCCTGGAGGGACCGAGTCAAAAGCCAGCAGCAGAGAGACAGACAGACAGACCTCAGAGGGCACAGAGCCATACCTTCCGTAAGTACACGTGCTGCCAGTCAATGCCCTTGAAGAAGATGTGTTCCTTCACCTCTTGTGCCCTGGGGAAGAGGAGAGAGGGCGGGAGGACCGCAGAGGTCAGATGGGAAATGTGACAGGAACTGTGCTAAACTGTCTCCCAGTAAGGACCCACAGGGAATGTTCCAGCTCCTTAAAAAACCAACTGCAGTCTGGAAAATGGCTCAGGGAGTAATGCACTTGCTGTATAGCCACAAGAACCTGAGTTTGGATCCTGGCTCCTATCTAAATGCCGGACCGGCATGGTGCAAGAGGCAGAGGGGATGCTCTGGGCATGCAGAAAGCTAGACCAGGCCAATTGGGAAGCTCTGGGGAGAGACTTACTCCAGTACACAAGGTAGAGAGCAAGCAAGGAAGACACAGGTCAATCTTGGGTACACACACACACACGTGCGCGCACACACACTTACAAGCAGACATATGTGCACACATATACTCTCACACTCACATGCACACACACGTATACTCGTGAGAGCTCTGTCACACACACAGACTCACATACACACACACAGACACACCCACACACTTGTACAGACGTACACACACAGACCCACATGTGCACCCACAAGAGAGTACTCGTGTGGGCATTCCCAACCCCCACGGACACATAGTAAAAAAGCAACAAGTTACTCTCAGAGTATGCTGTGGAGACCAGAGGCACCAACCCTGAACCCAGGGAGGTGTCCCCTTTGCCCAGATGTATCCTGCAGCTTGACAGCCTGGCGGTCCGCACAGATACACACGTGTGCATCCGTGTCATGTGGCTACACAAAACACAATCTGAAGAAGAGTGATGCCAAAGGGCTTTTCAAAAACACAAAATCAACACAGGAGTTGGGATCTAAATGATCAGAGAGGATAAAATAAGGAATCGAAGGAGAGAGAGACAGCTAACACACAAGGTCGGGAGCACGGAGGATCGCCCTCTCAAGGTCGGGAGCAGGGAGGATCACCCTGACAAGGTCGGGAGCATAGAGGATCACCCTGGCAAGGTCGGGAGCACGGAGGATCACCCTGACACGGTCAGGAGCACGGAGGATCACCCTGACACGGTCGGGAGCATGGAGGATCACCCTGACACGGTCGGGAGCACGGAGGATCACCCTGACACGGTCGGGAGCATGGAGGATCACCCTGACACGGTCAGGAGCACGGAGGATCACCCTGCCAACCCCGGGAGTGGCTGGGGCTGGGGGAGACGGCATACATCAACAGCCGGCTGGATTGAAGGGAAGTGTTCAGCCCTCAGCCCCTCTCTAAGGGGTTACTTGGGAACACACTGAAGCTAAAAGATGGGGGGCAGGAAAGTGGAGGGCTCTGGTCAGGTAAGCAGCAGACCCAGGAAACTCCAGAGCCACAGGGGATGGAGACACGGAGGCCACACCCGGTTCTCACAGGACTTGGTAGGAAAAACGAAAACCCCACAACCATTCTCTCTCTCTCCTTTCTCTCTCTCTCTCTCTCTCTCTCTCTCCTTTCTGTCTCTTTCACTCCCTCTCTGTGTAACCCCGCCCTGCGTGACTCCACCCAGTATGACCCCACCCCATGTAGCCCTGCCCAGTTTGACTCCGCCCCATATGACCCCACCCCTTGTGACCATGTCCCATGTGACCCCAGTGTGCCCCGCCCCATGTGAACATTCCCTGTGTGACCCCGCCCCATATGACTCCACCCATGTGACCCCAGTGTCACCCTACCCCTGTTTGACCCCAACCCGTGTAACCCCACCTCGTGTGACCTCGTCCACGTGACTCCACCCCGTGTGACCACGTCCCAATAGATGCCAACATAAGACCAACCTTGTCTTTGGGGAGGGGACCCTGAAAGATGACCTACCCGCCTCCACAGCAGCCCAGCCGCTGGCTCACATCCCGCTGGAGCAAACCCTCCAACAGGGACCTCAGCTCAGGGGAGAAGGCATCCGGAAGCTGCACATTCTGGGAAGAGAAGAGACAGTGGTCTCACGGCCAATCAGAGGTCAAGGCTGCTGCTGGGGTAAGAGAAGAATTTCGTAACAGGTTAACATTAAACCTGAAATGGCTGCTGACTGGCTTTGGAATCCGTCAGGTTGGTTGGTCTGAAGTGCCCGTGGCCCTCACCTCTGCTACAAGGGAGCCTCTCCCCACTTACCTGAAGGCCACGTCTGTTCCCTGTTTTCTATACCTTATTCCGTTCATTTGCACATCTCACCATTTACCCTGGAGTGCTGTTTCAAGTAATTTTTTTCCCCTCAAAATTTCCCCTAGGAATGTTTTTCTTTTATTTTCACATATTTATTTCAACCATGCACACTTTATGTTTATATATATATATATATAATATTTTATATATGTCATATATAATATTTTGTGGATTTTATCCGTCCTCGTGGCCGCTTGTGGCATGGGTGGGTGTGTGCCACGGGGCCCACGTGGAGCTCAGAGGACAGCCGTGGGGTCAGTCCTTGCCATACCCCTGCTATCTATGCTGTCTTGCTGTGCACACCAGGGCGAGGGGACCATGGCCTCCTTTCTGGGGATTTTCCTCTGTTCACCAGGCATCTCACAGCAGCGCCGCCGTTACAAATGCAGCCGCCGCATCTGGCTTTCACAGGGGTCCCGGGGACCAGAACTCTGGCCTTCAGGTCTGTGGGATGAGCTCTTCATCCATCCACGGAGTCAGCTCTCCAGACCTGTGGTACCTTATGCCTATCTACGGCACATTTCATCAGCAGCAGCAGAATGTGACCTGGGAGCCATCCTTAATACTTACCACTGTTAGGGTCATGCGGTCTATCTCCTGCTTGTCTTTGGTTTTATGCTGCCTGAAGGGGCTGTGGCTGCAGATATAAAAGAAATAAAAATATTAACACACGGCATTGGATAACTTAGTACAGGCACTGACTATATGTTCAGCTGAAACACAATACACAGACATTCAAAGATCGCAAACAGTTGCCAGTTCTGGAAACAAAACCTAACCACAGAATGGACGGGAGCCTGCAGGGGCCAGGCACTCCACACTTGCTCTTGTCTACAGTGACTTATGGCAGTAAGACAGGCCTCCCCAGTCAAACATCACCAGCAGCACACAGGCATCGGGCAGCCACATCCAGGAAGGCGCGAGGGCTGCAGTGGCCGCAATGCAAACTTCTGCAGTCAAGCTCCTAAAATAACTCGATGGCCCATGTTGCACCAGTGAGTTCCCGAGGCGTGTGCATCCGCCTAGCAGCCGGGGTGCACAGCACGACACAGCCTTGGTGACTGCACCAAGGCCTGGTCTTGGTTTACCCGGGATGAGTCTGGAAAGCTGGGGTCCATGTGACCTGGCTGTTCACAGAAACCTTCAGTATCCACATCTGCATCTGGACAGCAGACAGTAGGTGCGAATATGGCGGTCAGTTGGAAAGTATCAGAGCCCAGTCACGCTTGGTAAGCGACTAGGAGGGTTCCTCTTTGCTGTGCTACTCATTCATTTCAAATATTTGCTTTCTTACCTTTCAAGCTATTATCTTCGTGTAGTCACACCAGGCCATTTTCAGCCACGTCTCTCTCTGCCTGCCTTCCCTTCTCTCCCCAATCTCCCCCTTTTCCTCCCTCAGCTCCACAGTTTCCATTCTCCTATAATCCACACATGTGATTTGTGTCACTCTAAAGTCTGGGACCACAAGTGACAGGGCACACCTGATATTTGTCTTTCTGGGACTGACTCTGTTTGCTTTATATGATTAGCTCCAGAGCAGCCGTTTCTTACTAACAGCTTAACTTCATTTTCCTTTATGGCTGCAAATAATTCTCCATCCAAGTCTCTGTTGGTGGATGCCTGGGCTGCTTGGCTGCTTCCACAGCCTAGCTATAGTGAGCATGGGTCAGCAAATGTCTGTGGTGTTTATGTGAAGTAATACATAAACATCCAAGAGTGTGATACAGTATAGTGCGCACGCGCGAATGTGCACACACACACACACACACACACACACACACACACACCTGGGTAAGGGGGAAGGATCTATAAAGCACAGGCTGTCCTCAAACTCAGTTCCATCCTCCCACATTAGTTTCCAGGGTGCTGGGATTTCAAGGTGAGCCACGGGTTTTGTGTCTTTGAAAGTCTTCTTCAGAAGCTAGCTTTCAGAGGAAGCCTTACAGTTAAGTGGTACTTTGAATATGCAAATTAGAACCCATAGCCTAGAGATCTATTTGAAATTGAGGAAGGGCTAGCTAGGACTGGGGTTTCCTTACAGAGAGGTGTGCCTTTGATGGCCGGGCCTGTTTATAAGGTATGTAAGACACAAGCTGAACCAAGACACTCTGAAAAATCATTCCATGGCCAACTCCACCAATCACAGTGGTGCATGGAACTTGTGATCAAGGCAACTCTAAAGGAGTGAGTCCTAACCCCACCTGTCCTGGGCTGCGCCTTCCCGCTGCAGGGAAGTGTTTTAGTCTCAGACTCCTTCCTCCTCCCTCTGCACAAGAGAGGGCACCCCAGCATCGTGGTGAACGACAGACCCAGGCAATCAATTGCCATCTCCTAAAAGCACTGATCTGAACAAAAGATTTAAACAAAGGCAAATTGGCACAAGGATATGAGACAGTGGAGGAGCAGGGTTCAAAGCCATCCTCAGCTATGCAACAGTCCCAGACAAGCACAGGCTACATGAGACACCGTCGGACTTAAGCGTATGCTCCCGCGTGTGAGGGCAAAGCCAGCGGGCCCCGCTCAGTCCTTCACCTCGGACACAGTGTGAAGGTCAATCCCCAAGGTCCTGCTGAAATGTGACTGTGCTGTGTGGAGGCTGGGCCCTTGAAAGGTGAAGTCAGGAGAGCTCTAACCCCAGGGAGCCATTAAGGCTGTTATCATGGGCACCAGTCAGAAAGGTGAGTCTAGCTTCCGGGGTTTTCCCTATTCCCATCCCCTGCTCTCTCTCAGTACCCGGGCCACGTCCCGTCCTGTGAAGGACACCTTAGGAATAGGAAGTCGCTCAAGCTACTAACTGAACTCTTGGCTTCCAGGACCAGGACCCCAAATAAATTCTGCCCATTGTAAACCACTGGGGGGGGGGGAGGAACGGGACTGATTCTGTTTCATCCACACAACACAGTGGGAGAGAGCCCTCCCCACCACCCCACCCCTGTCCTCCCAACAACAACCCTTCATCCATCCCTAGGGCCATGGACCACCTTTACAAGTTCAGTGGGACCGAATCTGCCTCAGCAAGGCATCATGGGAAGCTACTTCCCGGCTCTTCAGCCCTGGGCTGTCTGTCAGGAGCACTTGAGTGTTCAGCTCCATGCACGAACACGAGCTGCCAAATGGAGTCTTGATTACTCTCTTTGTGAACCAAGTCTGGGACTTGGCTTTCTATTTTGGAAAATGTTAAAAGAAAAGCCTCAGATAGTAACGTCTCCGCTTTGAGCAGGACAAGTGGCACTCACAGACCTTGTGATGGCAGCTGTCCCCTGATGCAGGCTCTGTAAATAGGTACCCAGCTCCAGGCTGTCATCAGCCCAGAGTGCAGGGAACGCGCTCCCCAGCACTAGGGCTTTTGACTATAGAGAGCCTACATCCTGATAGGAAGCATTGGCACACTTCCTTACACTTCCTTAGATAGTGCAAGGCTGAGCACACCCCCGGCACATGCCAGGAAACCGAGGAAGCCCACACACTCCTCCATCAGACTCTTCAAATCCACTGGGTTGACACTGAGCCCAAACCAATACGACACGTGATTAAACACGCTCACTGCTTCATTTTAGAATGCAAGAAAGATTGTATGTCACGTCAAATATGCCTTTGGAGATTGAGTCAATAACTGTGAAAAAGCTATATAAACGGTCCGGGTCCCTTTCCTCCCAGAGGAACAAAACCAATAACCTCCAGTGGCACGTAACCCTGCCCCCCCAGACCTCTGCCTGGGCTCTGTCCTGATGGAAGACATATGGGGGGGGGGCTCCCCTACAGGAAGAGTTCTTGGTTCCCACAATCCTTCGGGGACAGGGAATCTGCTATGCACTTGGATACCTGAGTAGTGCCCATGCACCCTGGGCTCTGACAACCAAAACTGTCGTCAGGGAGTGCCCCAAGCATTCCTGGAGATTGCAGCCAAGTGTTGCTGGTTGTCTGGCTGCAGCTGCCCTAGGATGGGATGGGAAGGGTTAGGACAGGCTTTATCCCCAGGAATGCAGCATGCCTCCAGGTCTAACCTCTGCCCACTCAGTGTGTAAACCAGGTGTGACCACGTTCACAGACACAAATCAATGCTGAGTGTTCCCAGGTGCAGCTTAATGGGTGGCATTTACTGTCATTTACAGCTTGGGGAAAGAACGATTCCCTGCTTAGTTCATCCTCCTTTAAAAAAATAAAAATTCCTCTTATTTTTATTTTATTTTATGTGTTTGGGAGTCTGCCTGCATGTATGTACCTGTGTACCATGTGTCTGCAATACCAGCAGAGGCCAGAGAAAGGAGCCAGAGTCCCTGGAACTGGATTACCGACCGGTGAACTGCTGTGTGGGTGCTGGGAATCAAGCCTGGGTCCTCTGAAAAGCAGAGAGTGGCCGTCACCGTGAGCCACCTCTCCCATCTTAGTCCCTCCTTCCTAAGACCTGCCTTGGACCCTCCCTCATGAAATGTGACCTTGGTTCCTCCTGAAATGCTGCTCGCAGGCCCACCCAGGGTCTAGCTGACTCTACAGGACCCTTGTGTCCCTCACATCCCTCCAGCTGCAGCTCAGGCGTGTCTCTGTCCCTCTGACACTACCGGCTGCTTCTGGAATCATCTTACTGCAGGTTAAAACCCTCAGTCCCTGGCCGCCAGGAAGTCATGCACCACAGCACACTTAGAGGCCTGTTGCTTTCTCCAGCACATCCTATGTGAGATGCTGGTTACCACTCACCGGGCCCCAGTGGTGAGCTGCACCTGTCCCCACAACAACTTCCCCGTCCTGAGAGCCCCATCTCCCACAAAGTCACCCCACTCAGCCAAGCCCGGACTGGGCCCTCCATTTCTGTGCGTCCTAGCACCCAGTCCTCTGGGGAGCCTCCCCGCCCCTCATGTCTCCCTCCTTCCCTTTTCCCACAGCCCTCCTCCTCCCCTGCACCAGGCAAAGGCCCTTGTGCGCCTTAAGTACTCAATAAATGTTTATCAAGCTCAAATCGCCGGAGTCGGAACTCATTTCCTGCTCTTTGCTTATAGTGCATGTCATTCCCTGGAAGGGCTTTTGAGTAAGCACAGGGGTGGGGTGGGGGAGGGCTGAGAGCTGAACCTCAGTGGGAAGGGACGCATCAGAGCCCATTTGCCACACAGGCCAAGACTCCTCTTCCTGGGCTCAGGCAGTCAGCGGGCAGTGACCAGGAGGAATTGGCCGTGGAGAGGGACTAACATGGTGGTACAGATAACGGATTCTTAGGTGATCTGTCCCCCCACCCTCACCCCCCCCCCCACACACACCCATGTGGGGAGAGGTGTGGAGGTCAGAGGTCAGAGGACAACTTTCAGGAGTTGGCTTTTTCCTTCCACCATGTTGGTGCCTGGGATTGAACTCTGGTCCTCGGGCTTGGACCCTGCCACTGTCATCCCACAAGGCCGATCCATTCCCTCCGTGAGGCAGCCAGCCTACCCAGCAGACCCCCCTTTGAAGGGCTGCAGTCGGGCATTTTGGCCACCCGACCTGCGCCCACTCTCTGGCTCCCATCTCTCTCTCACCCCTCTCTCGATCCCTTGGCAACTGCCCCTGGGACCATCCTCAGGGGCCTTCAGGTCCGTGATGGAAGACACCCCATCCATGAGGGATGAGGGGTTCGCCGAGGACGTCCTAGTTTCCCCCTCAAAAGGAGCCAGCCATTGAACGGCAGCTGCACACAACTAAACTTGCTCCTCGAGGGGCAAATCGCAGCTGCAACAGGACCAAAGTGATAATAGCCAAGCCCCTCCTGGTTCTTGGAACACAGAGCCACGTGACTGCAGACCCTCTGCAGGCTACGAGCACGGACTGTTTTACCAACGGCTAGGGATGGCAAAGAAGAAGCAAACCCCAGCCTTCTCAGGCCGGCCCTGTTTCCCTGGGGTCCTTTATTGATGACAACGGTTTGGCTGTTGTCTCCAGGGACTGGAGGAACTCCTGGGTGTCTCCCTGAATGGCAATGACTGCAGTGGAGGACAGGACAGGGTCTCCCTGGGTAATGGCTTCCTCTGGCTCGTTCTGCATAAGCTCTAATCAGGTCAGCTAGTCTGCCAACAGGAGCGAAGGGCGCCTGGGCTCCACCAACACGGTACTGGTAATACAATTACGGAATAACAGACCCGACTTTCTTAGCGGTAATACGATTTTAGCTCCCCAGGGAATACAATGGGCACAGCAGAATTGGATTACAGGATCATCGAGGATGTAGTGAGTTGGACTCGGAGCCAAGTTTGGGGGACTGTGGAGTTCAACAGCTCTTCAAATGCACTAAACAGAATATACGAGTTTTCCCAGGGGCACAATGAGCCCTTAGCAGGCTGTGCCACAGGCTACAGGGCAAAAGATTAAGAGGGAAATCTGGACAGGAAGTGGGGACAGGGATCTTTCTCAGACCTTTGCAGTGAGAATGAAGAATATAGAGTTGGATGCCACTAAAATCAAGCTCCCGGCTAAAACCAGGTGAAACATATAGAAAGCCATGGACAGATGGTATCAGCTGTCAATCATCCAGTATGAGAACACATCTTGGGACGCACTCCCCTGCTGCCCAACTCATCGTCTTTGTGGCTTAGCATATGGTCACAAGGAAAAAGGTCAACTTCAGAGGGATAACGTTAGCAGTCTCTCAAAGAAATGCCAGCCTCTCAGGCAGGCTTACTTCGGCTCCTCAAACCCCACATTCTGGAATCCACCAGATGCTTGGTGTTCAGGAATCATGAGATGTCATTTGTGGGGTAGGAGGAAGACACCACCTTCTCCAATAATCCACACTTTAATACTTTTTCCTAGTCCCGGAACACGTGTGGAAATGCTCCAAATCCCTTTTGGTTTGCTGTGTTTTGTCTCATTTTTACCTTAGCCCTAATGTAAGGTACCTGGGACAAAAAATATGAAGCGGTTAAGCAGAGCTTTCACCTCCGACCCCTCAGGACAGAATCTCCCACCTTAGGAGGAGCCAGCTCGGCTGTCATCTGTAGCAGTGTGTCTTAAAGGCCACTGTGTGACTTAACATGGCATCGAGGTTGTGACTTACAAGTATCCTCCCCACCCCCATGCTGAGCATGGAACTGGGGGGTCTCTGCCCCCACCCCCAAGCTACATTTGACCCAAGCACCGCCAGGACGGGACATCTGAGTTCCACTCACCCCCGCAGGAGCTTGAAGAGCATGCAACCCAAGGAGAACCAGTCAGCGCTGCTGTCATACGAAGTCCCCTTCTGCAACACCTCGGGAGCCATGTACCCATGAGTGCCCCTGGGGAGGGAAGGAAAGGCGGTCACAGGTGTATGCTCACCCTGGAATAAGGAGGGTGCCCCATGCTGACAGGGTGGTGACTGAGCGTGGAGGAGAGCACAGGCCTCAAGCTGAGTGTCCCGCAGAAGCCAGTCATGAGTTTACACCACTGAGCTCACACAGGAAGTGGGATGAGGGCAATTCAGCTGAGGCGGTTTGTCACCCACTGACTGCCACGGTTTTGACTCAACTGACCTGGCTTGCTAGATGGGTGTCTGTGAAGACCCAAGGATACATACCCTGTGCTCTAAGATGAGCCTGAGTGACCCAGGGCATCTTCTACGCCACCATCAAAAAAGAGCCTTGGGAAAGCCCTTGACCACAGCCCTACAGCCTCTCTGTCTCTCGCTGGCTTCTGTCTAGCACTGAGGAGAGAGCAGGTGTGGCTCCAGCTCAGCATCGCAAGGCCCAAGAGGTGAACTGAACCCATGTAGGGCAGGATGGGGGTTCAAATCACGCCTTCGTTAGGGTGAGTTGCTGCTGACTCGCTTGTGCACACTGAGGTTTTCCTCAGAAACCCCTGGTCAGTAAGGACCATGGGTGATCCCTGGAGCCCATGGGAGGGGGGGATTGAAGGAGCTGCATAAAACATGCTTCGGGTGCTGTCAGGTAGTGGTGGGCCCGGCTTTCCTCAAGATGCCAGAATAAGGTCACGAGAGCCATGCCAGGAAGAGGAGACCTCTGCCAGGGCTTCCAGAACACTTTCTGAGATAGCTGAGTTTCAGCCTAGCCTGGAAGTCCTTAGAGGTGTCCGTCGGGTGCTACCCGTGACTGAGCCACAATCTGGGAGTTCAGGGACATCGTCCGGAGAAATCAAAACAAGCTGATGTAGACGGGCTCTGCAGGTGTTCACTGGAGCTTGCCCGGGGCCACCGCTGCATACCCTTGTGTGTTTGTCATCTGCATAAGGCGGTGCCAGCAATTAAACCAGGAGCCCCAGTCAACTTCTCAGTCCAATCTCTTTGAGAATGCAGGCTGAGACAGCCAGTACCAAGTGTGCACACAGATCAGGGACAACTGGGAGGCAATCCTTTAGGCACACTTGGGAGGGATTACTCATTCCTGGGCATGCCTGTGCCTAAACCGATTAGGTTGCTGATGTGGGAAAGCCTGCACTACAAGTGGGCAGTGCTATTCCCTAGGCTTGGGTCCCGGGCTGCATAAAAAGGGACAAATTAGGCTGGTCCCCTGACTGGATGTGATGTGTCCAGCTGCCTCGGGTCTGGCAGCTAGGACATCCCTGCCATGATGCTTCATCTCCTGGAATTACAACCCAAATGGGATCGTCTTCTCTTAAGTCCCTATTGTCGGGGTATTTTACTGCAGTGACAGAAAAAGGAAGCTAAGTAACTTTTCAAAGCACAGTTCTTCCCAAGGCAGGCACAACAGCCCTCCGACTGGACCAAAGTGGCCAGGCTAGTGGAGTATAAACAATGCCACGCCACGGAGATGACGTTCTGGGAAGATGAATTCTTATGAACTCTCCTACTCACGTTCCATTATGACCACAGTAAACTGAAGACATGAGCATACCGAAGAGGGGCGGCATTAAAAATTCAAAAGTGTCTCTCGAAAATGGCCAAGCATCCACCCAGGAGGAGTGTTGGTAGCCGTGCTCCAGCACAAGCTTGATATTTTCAGTCTCGTCCCAGTTCCGAGCAAAGAACAACGTACTTTAGAATCTGCAGTTTACGATCAACGCATCAACGCGCACCCGGGGCTTTCAAAGGCAGCTTTGATTTATCCCAGGCCCTCACAGAGCAGCACACATCCACCCCTTCGGTTCTAGTTACACAAAGGAAGGGCCTGCGGTTTATCTTCCACACAGACATATAGAATGAGGCTCAGGTACTTATGTCCAGGATCATCCCCCAGAGAGAACTCTTGCTCAGAGGGACAGTAAAATGTAACTGTAAAAAGATTTGGCCCTAAGAGCAAGAACTTTCCATATCTATTTAGTGTGTGTGCGCACGTGCGTAGTGGCCATACTCAGGACACAAGACAACCTATGGGAGTCAGTTCCCTCCTCCTTCCCGTCACGTGGGTCCTGGGGGTTGAACTCAGGTGGTCAGACCGGGCGGCAACGGCTACATCTGCTGAGCCTTTCACGGGCCCAGGAAGAGACATTCTAGGAGGCAAAGTGGGGTGGTTTGGGGGTGTGGCTCACAAGCATACTCTTGCCACTGCTGCTTCAGAGCTGGGGCACCTTTACCGAGAGGTGGCCACAGGCCGGGTCACCTGCACTTAGTTCTGCCACCACTGAATGCAGCTCTGAGTCATCAGAGACGACTAAAGGCTGTGGTCTCAGGAGTCACTTCCCTGTGACAACTGTTCGCCTCCCAAGTCCGAGGGCATGACCTGCATTAAACCCTGAACTGTACGTAGGTGGCTGGCTCCCGGCAGCTCCTAGTTTCTCAGAAGTGCAGGAGATGGAGATGGGAAGTCAGCCCTGAGCCCTCCCTGGGGCATTCCGGGCAGCCATCACATGCCTCTCCAGGGCATGGGCTCTGTCACATACTCTGGTAAAGGGACTTACTAGCTCCATCTAATAGAAGAAGAGACTAAAGGCCAGACAGGGCAAGCTGACATGCTCGGAATTTCACAGGCATCAAGCATGGCGGCTTCACCAGAACCGGAGCCCTTCCTACAAACCAGCTGACTCCTGGGGGCAGGCTTAGATCCCCACGCCTGTCCCCAAAAGAGTGACAGGAAGCACCCCTTCTATACCTCCAGTCCAACCATGTCGACACTGAATACAACAGAGGGAAAAAAAAAAAAATCCCAGCTGATGCAGGAGATGAGGGGCACCAGGGGCCAGGAGGTGTTGCCCGAACACAGGTGCCACAGAACGGAAATGCAGCAGATGCGGCAGACACGCTACTCACACACTGGCATGAGGCTTCTTTTTGGAGAAATCGCAGGCGAGGCCAAGGTCAGATATCCTCACATGCCCGTGCTCATCCAGGAGGATGTTTGCAGGCTGGAAGAAAAAGAAGTTCAAGAGTCCCCAAGAGGTCACCCTGCACAGCATTTCATCATGGCCCACATGACCTCTCCACTGGGAACTCTGTGTCCTCAGGATCAAGGCAGCAGGTCAATGAACACAGCAACACTCTGCTGGCTTCGGTGGGACGGGGCTATGAGAGAGACGCCGGCCCTCCCCACCAGAGAATGACACCCAAGGTGGGAGGGAGGGGGAGGGTTCCCACCATGGAATTGAAAGCATGTCCTCCCCGTTACTCCAAGAGCTTTGGTGTAGCCAGCATGGATACCCTAGCAATGGGAAACAGGGCCACAGGCTTCTGAAGACCCTCTGTGGACCACGAGGTTTCAGAGGAGGTGGTTGCAAGGGCCAAAGCAGGAAGGGACCCTTCAGGGAAATGCAATTGCTAAACCCAAGGACTGGAAGCATCCTGAAGCATCACGCCAACCCTGATGAACAGCCATGGCCCGATGAGGGCCCCACCAAACAGCCAAACTGGAGTCTGACCCTGCCTCTGTCTGATGTGACGGGGACATTTCCATCCAGCTTAGATTTGGTCAGAGCAATCACAGACACTGAGATTCCCCCCCCCCCCAGCACACCCAGCTACAGCCAGCTCAGGAATATCTTTCTGCTGTGAAACACCTACTGTTTTGCCTAAAATAAAAACAATGGCAAGCTCCTACAACCCTGAGACATGAATAGTCATGAGTGACTAGAATTAAATTTGAATGGGAATGAAATAACATCGTTGCCTGCTAAACAGCTTAGAAAATGAAAACAGAGGGAGACAGGTTAAAAGCCATTCCAGGGTTTAAATTAAGGCACAGGGTAGCAGCTCTGTGAGCTGTCAGCATGTATGAGGTTCATCACGGGATTCATGAGCAGCTAACATGCCACGGGCTCACCAGCATCTAGTTATTTTCTAGTTAAATCTAAAAAAAAAAAATTATCTTTTCTTCTGTATGAGCACATGAAAGCTAAGAGAGGAATTCTTTAACCCAAAGAACACTTTCAATTTCACAGAGGTATTCTGGGAAAGAAAACTATGTGCTCAAAACCAAAATACAGCACTTTTGTTTCCTAGATCAATCAGTGGCAAGAGGGGGTGGGCATGTCTGTCATCGGGCCACTTGGGAGGATGAGACAGAAGGGCCTCGAGTTCTATGCTGCCCTGGGCTACATAGTGAGGCCCCTGCCTCACAGGAGCAACACCACAGCTTCCCAAAGAACCTGAGAGAAAGGGGCAGGATCTCATCCCAGACCACTGTGTGTTCAGGCCACGCAGAAGGAAACCCTCTAGGCATTTTCTTATGCCCTCGGTAAACTGCCACCGACCAATTTACCTCTCCTTGCCTACACATCTCACACACATGTGTCTATAATCTGTTAGGGTCTGGTCTCTGTCCTTGATGGTTTCGTTTGTTTTTGTCAACTTTACACAAGCTAGAGCCAGATGAAACGAGAGGACGGTAATTGAGGGGGGAAAAAAACAAAGCCTCCATGAGCTCTGGCTGTGGACAAGCCTGTAGGACATTTTCTTAATTAGTGATCTATGGGGGAGGGGCCAGTCCATTGTGGGTGGGGCCATCCCTGAGCTGCTGGTCCTGGGTTCTATAAGAAAGCAGGCTGAGCAAGCCATGAGGAGCAAGCCAGTGAGCAGCAGCCTCCATGTCCTCTGCATCAGCTGCTGCCTCCAGGCCCCTGCCCTGCTTGAGTTCTCAGTCCTGACTTCCCTGCATGATGAAATGTGAGCCAAATAAACCCTTTCCTCCCCAAGTTGTTTTTTGGTCATGGTGGTTTATCACAGAAATAGAATCCCTAACTAAGGCAATTCCTTTTACTCTCTCCTCCATCTGCATCACAGGTAGCTGGTGTCACCATGGACACGCCCAGAAGCTACCGGGACCCCTCCTGCATGGAGACCCCAGCACCAAGCACACCTCTAGGACAGGAATCACAGCTCACTTTCACTGTTTGTCGGCCCAGCAAGGTGCCCCCAGGAAGTTCTATGGGCTGAACTGCAATGCACAACCCACCCTGCTCCATCCAAACAGCCTTGTTGACAGGAACCAAGGCAGGCAGCATCACCCTTTTTACAGTTAAGTCTTTATCCCTCTCAAACCATAACCAACCAGCCGGGCAGGATCTGTTCCTGGGTGAGTCCACCCAACCACGATTATATACAAAGTGAGAAATGCCCCAAACACGCCGACCACCATCGCCTTTTATTGTGTAGCTCCTGGACCTGGGTGAGACCTTCCTCACCCAGCATCTTAGCAGGCACTGAGGTTGCCATGACAACAGGGGTTGGCCAGAGGTACAGCCCCTGTCACACAGGGAACAACTTAGCCAGGGCTGAGACAGGACTAGGAGGAAAGTGACAGGAACTTAGGGCAGAGAAAGGGGACTCGCAGTGGACGGTGGGCCCACCCCCATCCTCCTCCTCCTCACCTTCAGGTCTCTGTAGACAACGAAGCGGGTATGCATGTGCTCCAGGCCCAGGATGATCTCACTGGCGTAAAAGCGCATCTCCTTCTCAGAAAACACCCCGTGCTGGGAGAGGTGGTAGTGCATGTCACCCCCTGCAACCGGGAGACCCAGAGGGCAAGTCACAGAATGTTCCCTGCGAGTAGACACGGGTCACCCTAAATAACGAGGGTACAGAGAAGGGGTACAGCTCTTCCCTCGACATCTGTCTTTTGGTTTCTGTGACGTGGACAAAGGTGTGTGTTGATATTACCAACTTCAAGGGGGTGATGGGCAAGACCGTGTCTCGAGGAGGAGGCAGAAGCCACCATTCTGGGCTTGCTGGCTCTGCTACCAGTTACACTACCAAGCATGGGCTGGCTGAACCACTGATTATTCAAACCCGCCCAGTCACTGAGGCCACCTGTGTAGTGTTCCAAGGCAGCGACCTCCTCCATAGCCCACAGATAAAAAACAAAACCAGAAAAACCTTAACCCCTGGTGCCACGGAGGGAGGGTTTGACGCTGTCAAAACAGTGAAGTGTAGCTGGCAAAACCCAGGCAATGGGCATCTGAGAGCCCCCATAAAACTGTCCCCCTAGCCAGAGAGTTCAGAGTTGTTCAAAACATAACGCTGGGAAAAGCAAAGAGCCAAGTGGCTTCAGGGACAGTCCCTAAGGCCCAGGGCCGGGGGAACATGTGTCTAGACACTAAATAAAGGGCTCCAAACTCTTTCCAGTGGGCCAGCCCGGGCTCCGCCAGCTCTGCCCTCCATGGGCACTGCCCCTCTGCACATTCACACATGGGATCTGCAGGGCGCGTGCTGTTGGCTTCTTCGACTCATTACTGATCTTTCGTCCTTCCTATTTTGGGGGCAGATCTGAGCTCAAATCAAGCACTCGAAACATAATAAAACTTCAAGCGAACTAAAAAAAATAATAAAAAGAATCTGAATGGCTGAATGTCTTTCAATGTCTTTCATTTCAGCTTTTCCTAAAAATACCCCAAGTGCTCCCATACCACATCCTTATGCTGCCAGCTCTTTCCAGCTGAACATTCTGTGTCTGTGCATTTTTGGGGGCAGCTGCTCATTGTTCCAAAGATGAGCGTGGAGTCCCGAAGACTTTGGAGGTACAGAAAGAGCAGCAAGGCAGGGCCCTCACGAACCAGCCCTGGAGGGCCAGCTCCTCAACACATGTCTATCTTTGGCCTATATCCTTGGGAGACTTTCATTCCTAAAAGTTGAGACCAGGAAATTAGCTAACTGAAGACTGGGGCCAGCTGCCGTCCAGGAGGTAAAACTTCAAGGCCGGTATTTGTTTTGTGAGAAGTTTCTGGGACCCAGCTTCTCAGGGAGAGAATGGGTAGCCTGAGAGAGAAATCACAGCCACTGTTGCAAGATGAATCTATGGGAAACCACAGGGCAACGATGCCCCCCCCAAACCTCAAAGACAGTCGGAGATCATGGGGCAGGTTCTCAGAGCCCAGCATGCCTGGGTGCCACCAGCTTGCAATGAGTGCCACGCACAGCTCCTCTCTGCAGCCGGACCCTGGGGTTCGCTTACCGTTCATCAGGTCCAGGATGAAGCAGAGTTTGTCTGGCGTGTGGAAGGCGTAGGTCATGCAGACGATGAAGGGACAGTCCTAGAGTGGATGAACACAAACCCGTGACAAGGACAGAAGATGCTCCGGAAAAGCACGCCCACCACCAAACTCCCCACTGCAGACTGCTGCTTGAGCCTTGTTCTTGGCTCGGAGTGTGACATGCACTGGTCACTTCAGAGGCTGTGGAGCACCAGATCCCACTGACAAGGAGACAGAGACACAAGCCACCACCAGAGCAGCTGGACTTGAGGCGTTCCCTCACCCTGACTCAACCTGGCATTACTCTGATCACAGCCCCTTCAAAGGACCAAAACCTCTGGGAACACTACCGCCCCCGCTGGTCTCTGCTGGCCATGGTTTGGGTCCTGGCAGTCAACTACGTATTTGAATCTCTGCTTTGAACTCAGAAGAGTCAAATGAGGGTGGCTAGGAGCTGTGTTATTAGAATGAAATTAGCTTTTGAAGGTAGAAAATACGGTGTAGAGTGACTGACAGAATAACTCCACAGTAAAAGGTCGTCCATGTCCCTGGAACCAGCTATGGGTTCCACAGAACCCTAATGGAAATGGACGCTGACAGGTTGATTAATGTGCGGGGCTGTAAATAGGCAAAAATATAGACACTCTTTAGGAAAAACAGGCCAGCAAAGTCGCAGACAGATGTGACGACTTCTTATGGGGGGGGCGGGGCGCAGGCTCAGTGGGAACATCGCTGGTACACAGCAGGAGGGTCTGAGTTCAGATGCCCCGCACCCAGCAGACCACACATTAGAAATGCCAGCATTAGGGAGGCTGAAACAAGGGGATCCTGGGGTCCGCTGGCTGTCAGTCTAGCCAGGTCAGTGAGCTCCAGGTCCAGCGTGAGACCCTGTCTCAAAACCCAAGGTACAGGGTGACAGGAAGTCAGAGCCACCTCTGCTTTCCACAGGCACACATATGAATAAGGACCCCCACATCCTTCCACACAGGTGAGCACACACACATACACACACACCGATGCATACACACATATATGAACGCAAAGATGCACACACACATACACACATAGGTATATGCACGCATGATATATATACACACATATATGTAAGCGTGTATATGTATATGTGCACTCACATACATGTACGTGTGCACCCATGTACTCACACACAAATATACATATGTACACACGTATAGAGGTGCACACGTGTATACACACAGGTACACTCATATGTACACACAGGTGCTCAGAATGTATAATCACAAGTACATATAATACACACACACACAGACATACACACAAGTGCACATATGTATACACATACATACACGTAGGTGCACACATGTACATGCACACACACAGGTATGCAAACATACACACATATACAGGTACACACAGAGTGCTGCCTATATAAGGTAAACATAGTTAAGACTGCATGGCCTAAGCTCTAACACAAAATGGTGTAGCTAAAGGAGGGAACCTTCTCCAATGGCCACCTGAGTGCAGTAAACGTAACTTAAGAGGCCACAGGCAGGCTACAAGCAGGGTGTTTCCAGTCAGAGCTGAAGAGCTGAACATCTGTAAAACAAAGGCCTAGTATGGCCTGGCCTCACTCTGCACCACCACCACCACTTAGATGCCTCGGTGCTGAGCTGTGACTGGGTGTTTGGACCATTACCTGGCTTGCATTGTGCATCACCTGCCCATGATCTGGCATCCCCACACCAGGTAGACAACCGGGGTCCATCTGCACCACATGGGTGCCATCCCCAGAGCTGCCTCACTCTGCTCTGCTTGGATTGCCCTCGCCCAGGGAAGTCTCTGAGAAGAGTCAGGGAGAAGGTGCACTACTAAGTCAGGAGGCTCTGGAGCTGAACAGTAACTCAGGCTCTGCAAACAACGCAGTGTCTGCCCTCTACTCTCTGCGTCCTTCCCTTACAAGGCGTCTAGAAACGGAAGGACCATTCTTGGCTCATGGGCGGTCTAGAAGAAGGTCTCAAGCTGGATTTGGTCCCGGGGCCACACAGCTCTTTCCAACCCTGCTGTCCAGCTATACATGGAGCGAGCGACCGCCAGGACCACTAGCCCAGGGTCGGCCCCGCCCACAATAGGATGGCCTCTCCCTCGTCCATCACTAATTAAGAAAATGCTCCATAGGCTTGCCTAAAGCCAGATCTCACGGAGGCATTTTCTCAGCTGAGGTTCCGTCCTCACAGATGACTCTACCTAGCGTGAAGTTGACGCAAAACCAGCCAGCACAGACCCCCATGTTTCTGCAGTTCTCCTCATGACCTTCTGGGGACATCATCTTGTTCTGCTAAATGGTTCCCTCTTTATCCTCAGTGGGGTTCCCTGAACCCTCCATTCAAGCCATTTCACATCCTTCTGGCAAGACTTGTTTCTCAAAGCCTCAAGACCACAGCCCCATGGTGACCTCTGCCTGCCTTTGTGTTCATGCCTGGGAAAACCCAAAGCAACTTCACCTGGCCTGGCCACACCTAGGGCTACCAGAGCCTTCCCTGATCTCTGCAGGGGGAGGAGGGGGGATGTCAGGTGCCTAACACCAACAGGCGACAGTGGCAAACTCAGCTGACATCATTGGGCATCTGACCAAACTAATGTGAGACTTAACAAGTACCCGTAGCCGTCCCCTCCCCCACCACACCTCAGGCCCTGAGATTATATTAGTCTGGAGCTCAGTTGCTCCCGCAGGGTAAGTGGTTTACAGTTCCCATGGCTTTAGCTCCAGCCGCCTTGTACTTATCACTGAAATGGTGTGAAACTGACCAGAGGGAACAAAGTAACAGAGTCACCACAGAGTAAGTAAGTAACAAAGTCACAGAGGAAAGGCAGAAGGCTCTGGGTACTGTCTCAGAACCTGCCATCTGCAAGCCTGGTTCACCCAGGAGCCAGGCAGATACCAGAAGGGAGGAGTGTTGCACAGCGTTCGGGACATTCAGAACAAGATGCTAAAAACCCCGAGTCACTACAGCTCTCCAGGCTGACCAATTTGTGTCCTCATTAACAAAACAGCCTCAAGATCCATATCTGAACACAAGTAAGGGTCTCTTCAGTTAGCTCTAGGAGCCCAATGTAACATCATTTTCAAATCTATTCCCTTCAGGACAGACCAAAGGTCACCCACACACTCTTGGGGGGGGGGGAGGATATTAAAGGAATGCAAGCAAAATGGCCTTGTATATTTCCAACATTAAAAAAAAAAATCTCCATATGGCTTCTTGAAAATGGATGGGGCTTTGGAATAACTCATTTAAAGTGAGGCTAAATATCCAGAGTTGGAAGGCAGGGGTGCATAATGAGGAACTATTTAGATCCCCATTCTCATTTTACAGTTCGCCTAAGCGACACGGTTAATTGGTTTCAGTAGCAAAAAGTCCTTCCAGAAGCTTGGAAAATAAACGCTGGAATCATTATCAACCGCAGTTCAATAAAAAGTGGTCATGAAAAGCCACTTTTCCTCCAAAGGGATGAATCAAAGGTGAACTTGGGTCAGCATGGCCAACAATTGGAAGGGGCAGGTCCTGTCCTAGGTCTCCAGAGCCCTCTAAGCAGCAGAAAGGGGGTTTCTGGTTAGCCATTAGGGCTTCATGCCTTCAAAGATTTTAGGCAGAGAGGCCCGTGCATCCAATCCAGAGATGACAATCAGAAAGGCCGCACATATAGCTAGAGGTGACAATTATAAATCGCCCACCTGTAGCCTGGGCAGTGACAGTCAGATACCCTCCACTTAGGACAGGAATGCACCATGGTACAACTCCATCCTAAGCCCTTGGTACCAAGCCCCTGTCCTGCCCTGAGTGCTGCCCCAAAGCCTTCTGGTGTCCACATGCCTGCATAGATTATGACAAAGGCAGTTGCCTTAGTTGGATCAACTGGCTTGGTGGCTTCTGAGGATTTTGGTGGTGGTGGTGGTGGTGGTGGTGGTGGTGGTGGTACAGGAACTGAACAAACACAAGGTCCCATGCCTGCCCATCAAGTGCTCATTCCCCAAGCCACATCTCCAGCTCCAAAGCTGAGGCTTCCATGACTGACAACACACCATTGCCAATCAAGTCAGAGTGGAAGTCCCGCCCCCTGCCTGGCTCACGAAGGGCAGAGGGCAGTCTCTGGCATGGTGTAGGCAATGTTTAAATTACATTAAAATGTTCTTCTCATCTTAAGTTCTGCCATCTGGCACTACACTCTGCAAAGAAGGAAGCCGGGAGAAAGGAAAGGCTCTGAGGGAGGTGGCTGGGTCTGTGGGACACTCTTCACACTCCACCCACCCAGCATGGCCCTCTGTGTGTTACACCACAGCCCACCCTTCTTCAACCTCCTTTGGGATCAGCTGGGACAAACAAAGGCAGCTGGCAAGAGTTCAGAAGCCACGGGGCACAGCTACTCACCCCCGTACTGACAAGGGAAAGCATGATCCTTTCGTTCAAGGCCAGAGTCTCCCCCTGCTTCATCTTCACCCTCTTCTTGTCTAGGCATTTCATGGCATACCTGAGAAGGTAAGGATGAGGGTGTGGTTTAGTCTGGGAACTCACACTGGGCTACACAAACTTCTGGGGTATTTCTACCAAGTTGAAGGGAAGCAAGGGTGCCCTTCGGGAAATCTCCATTTTTGCCGGCGCAATGGGAAGAAAGAAATCTTACAGTGCAAGATGGATTCCTCTCATCACGTGGGCAGAGATGCTAATTAGATAATGTATGAAGTAGAAGCAAAAAATAATAATATATGCAGAACGTGTACTCCTGCCCCAGGGGAGGAGGCAGGGGGCTGTGTGGATCGCATTCAGCTGTATCAAGTCTTCGGTGTAGGACCCTGACTGGAATCTCCCACACTCACACATGTCTTGTGATCTTTCAAGTGATAAATCGACTTTTTATGACTGTAACTGAGGGTTGCCTGCTGACAGCTTAAAATTTGCAGAAACCATCACAGATGGAGGAAAACAGAAAGCACTTCAGTAAAACAGAGGAAAGCAGGAAGAGAATCCTAAAGTCTGTGTGACTATCACATTTGCTGTAACTCCGCCTCCCCCAACCCCACCCCCACCCCAGCTTGCTGGGGAATGGCTTGAGGCAGAGGCAGGTGGAGCTCTAAGAGCTTGGGGTCAGCCTGGTCTACATAGCAAGTTCCAGGCTAACCAGGGTTATACAGTGAGACCCTGTCACATGACCTATAGGAAAGCAGGTCGGTGCTTAAGTTTAATGTTTTCTCCGATTGCCCAGATGCTCTTACAATGGCTGGGTTCCTGAGGCAGCAAGGAACCCTGAGCACATGGTAAACACTGATGAGGGGCTTTCAAAATGCTCCACAGGCAGCTCCATTTTTCATAAATCCTTCCCTGCACAACAGGGAGGAAAGACTATCCCTGCCCAGCAGGAGCCCCCTACAGGGCCTCTGTGGGGAAGTCACCCTAGCTCAAGCCTGAAGGGGAACAGGTAGAAATTCCAGAATGGGCTCCCTGGAGTGGACACTCCGTTTGTGGCTCCTGTTAGCGTCACAGCAGCCCTAAGAAGCAGAGAGGCCAGGCTTACAGTCCAAATTCAAGCATCTATTTCGTTCTGTGAGGCCAAGAGCTCCATAAAATGCTCTTAATGGTCCTGGTGAGACAAGGACAGAGGCTCACATTTTCCCGGTGTCAGCTTTCCTGCAGCCATACACTTCCCCAAAGCCTCCTCGGCCAATGATCCTGTGTACACTGAAGTCGTTCATGGTCAGCTGTGGAGGCATAAGACAAAATGAAGGCACAAAACCACGCGAAGTCACGGCAGGGCAAAGGGAGCGCACACACGCAAGCGCGCACACACACACTCACAAACACACACACTCACAAACACACATGCACACACAGACACACACGCACACACTCACACCACACACACTCTCACACACACACACACACCACTCACACACACACTCACACAGTCTGGTGTCACCTCCCCCTCCCAGGACAGATTCCTTAAGCTGAAAGATGAGCCACACAGAAGGACAAGCCTTCTCTCCCAGCCACCTCCCCGTGACATACCAGGCCCAACATGGGGACAGGGTATGGGGCTGCAGTGTGGGAAGGGACTGTCCCTCCGCTCTTGAAAACCTTAGGTTATGCAAGCCGTGACCTTGGGGACAAGCTAGTGTAGAAATCCTAGTCAAAATGATGAGCTCAGCCTCCAGGAAGCCTAGAGTTTGGGGACACTCAGACCATTCCAGGCACCGTCCTGAGGGGAAGACAAGAGCAGCTGTCTCTGGACAAATGTCCTCTTGACTGGGAAATGATGAGAGGCCAGCTGTGGGGGGCCAGGACTCCTCAGATGAGCACAAAAGACAACCACAGAAAGAGGTTTCATTTACACACCTGCTCCCTCCATCAATAGAGCTGGGGGGGGGCCAAGAAAGGTGTGGTGTGTGTGTGTGTGTGTGTGTGTGTGTGTGTGTGTGATAAAGAAAGAGAAAGAGAGAAAGGAGAGAGATTTGTCCCTCATGCTGGGGTCTGAACCTCTGCACTTACTAATGTTCTACTGAGCTAACTATCTCACACCCTACCTCTGCCAATTTTAAAATAAGGAAAAAGAAATAAAACAACCCTGAAACTTGCCTGTAGCTAAAATATTCTGCTCCTTTTATTACATCCTACAGTAAGACAAGGGAAGGGGAAAAAAATGTCACAACGTGGCGGGTGCCCAGGCTGCATAGACGTTATATCAAGTGGAAGGCTTGCGTTGTCACGGTTATTTTTGGGGTCAATCAATTCCAGCTTAAAATAGCCCTTCTTACGCATATAAGCTCGTTCTCACACAAACATGAAAAAAAGAAAGTGAAGGCCCAAGTGCTTGTCAGCCAGCCCGCATGTGCAAGGACAGCTGTGCTGAGTACCCTTGGGGAGAACGTTCCAGAACAAAGCGTTTTCTCATGACACTAGGCAGAGGAAGGTTTTTTGTTTTGTTTTTTATTTAAAAAAGAGGGAGGAAGGAAACACAGAAGGATGGTACTCACATGGATATTTAACTCCACATTCTTCCACTGACAAAATCTGGTGAACTTATCGCTAAAAGAGAGTACAAGCAATCACTGAAGGGTTAAATAATCGATGGTGTTCTGGAAGAGCCTTACTCCTGTGTTGCCTCTCACACAAGGAAAACACTCTCAAACACCCACCTGAGGTGCCTCCCACACAACCCCTGCACCTGCTGCTCAGGAAAAACCTTGGAAGACGGGCAGAAAGACTATAGGAGCCAGACAACCAGGTTGCGCATCAGGGAAGCTGCAACCGTGAATTCTCAGCAATATGGTTGCCCAAACAAGACCAGCACAGTGACAATACCAGCTGACTTGCCAACAGACATGGGAGACGCCCCACATGGTTCTACCGCCAGAGGAAAATCAGTCTCCTCCAAGGATGAGCACCCTGTTCAATCCCAAGGGGTCAGCCTTGCACACATGTGCATGTGAGCCAAGCTAGATAGACTCAGGTTATCTAGCTGCGTGAATATTTGTACTCGTGCACATATATGTCTGTAGCAATAGCAATTATAGCCAAGACCATGAACTTGGAAACACAAGAGGAGTTGGAGGGGGAGGGGTGAAGATCTCAAAAAAAAAAAAATACATTAAAACATTTCTTTTTTCCCACCCAGCGTCCACAGCTTCATTTGAGTGTTCAAATGAAAGACTAGGTGTCTCTTCTCAGCGATCACATGCCACATGTGTAATTTGAATAATAGTGTACGGTGCTGAGTTTTCTATGCCTTTCCTTCCACACAAGGCCTCTGAGACCCGGCTTCTTTAGTACAGGAAGGGCGTTTCAATTTGGAGGCATCTCACGTCACAGGTTTGGTAGCTATAGATGGTTCCACTGTCTTGGACGCTTCTGCTCCAAACATCCAAAAAGAAAAGGACAGCCAATGTTCGCAAATAATTCTAAGAGCATCCATCAGAGCCCGTGTTTACCGAACACCCGATCCACACGGCTCGTTGACCCCTTTCAGAGGCCCTGTGAACCAGGGCATCCCGACTCCACTTTACGGCTGCAAGACCAAAGCCAGGAAAAGGTACTGGGCAAACGTCATGCACGGGTGAGCAGATGGACCAGACAGACAGGCTCCGGAGCATCTCACAGACCCACGGGGTGCAGAAGGAAACGCCTCTCTCTGGTATTCTAGGTACCTTCCCCATGCCAGCCAAGCTCTGTCTCCATTCATGCAGTAGAGAAGTGTCTACCATCTGTCCTCTTAATTCAGGCATTATTACATTTGCTCATTCATTAATGATCAGGGTTTCATGTGCTGTTGCTCTAAGAGGTGCAGAAGAAACGCAGGGTGTGGGCTCGGGCAGCGTAGCTTGGGCTTAGATTGCCTATTTATGGGTTATAGGGCCCTGGATTCAGTCCCTAGAGCTAGAGAAAGGAGAGGGAGGAAAGAAAGGAAGGAAGTAGACAGACGGGAAGGGAGGGGTGATGAGGACCAGAAGGCTGCATCTCGCCTAGTCCCTGATTGATTCCTCGTAAAGACACAGAATTCAAGGTTCTTCCAGGGAAGCGGGAGGAGGGAAGGAAGATGGGGTGGAGCCTCAGGTACCAGCATCCCAAGGGAAGGCTTCAGATGCCAACCCCCACAGCCCCCGGGGATCAACACACAGGACCTTAATTAAGAAGACTTCCAAGATGCCAACCACCCAAATCCCTGTGGTCTTCCCAAACACACAGCTGTTTTCCCCATGACCCTAAAGTGGCCTTTGGAGAGTCTCTCGTGGGCTCTCCTAACAAGGCCTCTAAAACCCCGGTTCGGACGAGCATCGGTTCATGCAGAAGCTGCAGCCTTTGGGACAGCCTTCCTCTTATGGTTCGAACTCACTCTTCTCTCACAGAGTCCGGGTCTGACAGGCCCTGACACATTTACGGCCAGCCCGTCAGCCTTAGAGTTCTGGCCAGCACAGAAGGAATAACAGCCAGCACCCTTTGCTTGGTAAGCATGAACTTGCTGTGACAAGTTCCTCTTCAGGAAGCACAGATGTCCCCTGGGCATGTGGCCGGCCGAGTATGTGCCCAGGTAGGGCTGCAGGGGCACAGTTCCTCATTAACACCTGTGGCAGGCAGAGTGCAAATCTTTAAGGGGCCTTGGCAGCCAGGGCTGAAGGACCTCAAGAGCTCTCAGGGTAAAGAGAGTAGGACCTGGATGCAGGAGGGGCTCAGGTGGCTCCTAAGCCTCCTCTGCTGCTCAGTGTACGGTCCACTGAGTCTGCAGGGTCCCAGACCCCCCTCCTCAGCTTTGGGGTTCCCTGAAAGCTGGCCAAGCCCCATTGCTGAGGTTTCCTACTCTTCCAACAGATGCCAGGGCTCACAGGAAATCCCATCTAGGCCCCTGAACGCACCGCACCCACCCGCCTGCCTGCCTGCCTGCACATCCCTGGCGATGCTCAAGGGCCATGCTTTCCAAAGACAAACTCCACACTCACAGTGAGGCAGTGATTTTCCCTGGCATCCCACGGTGAGGGTTCACCTACATTTGAGGTAAAGAACAGACAGGGGGGGGGCAATGCCCAGAGCGAGGGGAACCCCATCACACAAGAGTAAGATGGAACTCAGAGGTGGGAGCCAGACTTGAGAAATCAAGGTAACAGAGCTGGCCAAAGGTCAGCTCTGAGCCCATGATATTCCCTGGCTTCACTGAGCCCTTCCAGAAGTTTCTGCTGGTACCAGGACCAGAGGCCTGCGCTCACATAAATGAAGGCCGCTTCCCCCAAGATACCGAGCGCACTCTGGGATAAAATTAACTCTCCGTTCTGGTTAGAATCACAAGGCGCACGGTGGAGGTAAACACACACAGGGGATTGCTTCTCAGGGGCTCTGACCAGCTTCAGAGTATGGGATGGCACACTGCCGTGTGACTTGGAAATGGGGGGGGGGGAGGCGAATTCATTAAGTGTGCAAACGATGCCTGTGAGCACGCAGCCTGTCCCTTCCCGGGCTCGCCCTACTTTGGGAGACCACACCTCAAGGTCCCAAGGCGGCGAAATCAGATAAAACGCAGCCACCAGCCATGTCAGCAAAGGCCTCCCTTGACCCTGGTAAAATGGAAGCTCCCCAGAATGTCTCCATTTTAGACCACACGGAAGCAGAAAGCAGGCGGCCAGGGCACATCAAGCTGCACACCCCAGAGCTACAGCATGGAGAGCCAAGGAAGCAGCATGGCAGAGGGCTGCCAGCCGGTCACTGCCACCGAGGGCCCGTGGAGGGATAAAGCCACACACACTGGGGGATCGCCGTGCATGCACACTCTCGAGCCAGGCTCCTGCGAACAAGCACAGCAGTCAGCATACCTTTCCATGAACTTTTGGAAAATGTCCCCTCGAAGGCTCTCACAGATTTCTTCTATGTATGGCTGGAGAAGAGACAACACCACATAAATAGGAATTAATCAACGGAAGGGCGCGTGCCAGGGCTCTCGGGCCCGAGGTCAGCAACCAAGCTTCCCATGGGACGCTGGCTGTCCCCCTCATTGTGAACAGGCTCCTTCCAGGGTTATTACCTCAGTCAGCTCCATCTACACTCCACACAGCCGGGGGCTGGGACCGCTCTCTATGAGCTACCGACACGACACTTCTTTAGTGACGGGAGTTGGCTACTTGAGCCGAGTAGAGGGTCCCAGCCCTTAGCTGTGCTAACCTCTGCCATCATCTTGAAATTCTCATTTCTGCTTTGTTTGACTGTTTGCTTGCTTTTTTTTTGTTTGTTTTGTTTTTTGGTTTTTTGTTTGTTTGTTTGTTTTTTGTTTTGAGACAGGGTTTCTCTGTGTAGCTTTGGAGCCTGTCCTGGAACTCACTCTGTAGACCAGGCTGGCCTCGAACTCACAGCGATCCGCCTGCCTCTGCCTCCTGAGGCATACACCACCACCACCACCACCCAGTGAAGTTCTAATTTCAGAAGAGGGGGATCACGTGTTTTGACATGACGCTGGGCCCTGTGAGCGAGTTTCCCAGCATGCTTTGTAAATTGCTATGAGCCCTTTCCATGCCGACTAAGATTTAAGCACTGGGAGCCGACAGACTCACAGTTAATTGTCCTAATTAGCTGTGTTACTAATCAATGCTATACCTTCCTTAGACTCAGAGTTAAAGGTGCTCAGGAGAAGGGACAGGAGGCTGTGGGTGCAGCCTGTGCAGCCCTGTCCTCTAGGGAGGTCCCTGGGGTGTGGCGCCGAGAGCTCCAGGTCCCTCACGGGGAGGGGGGATCAACTACTTTCTACCTCATTCCTGCTTCGTTGTTCTGAACAAACAGCCACATTTTCTGTTCCGCACACTCCAGCTGAGAACAAAAAGCTGGCTGATGGCCACACTTCAGAGTTCACCAGAGTCCATTAGATCTTTTGGGAAAATATCTCGTCCATGCTCCATGAGCTGGATGGTGGGAAATTTAACCTCTTCCATGTCCTCACTGAAAGTTTGTCAAAATACGTCGAGAAAGTGGGATGAGGGAGTCTACAGCAGCAGGCGGTGCCATGGCTTCAGGGAACTCAGGAGGGGAACTCAGTGAGGTCCCATGCATGGTCCTCGAAGAGGCTTTCTCCACAGGGAAGAGATGGGCTCATTCACAGTTTACTTTTCCGTTTTATCAAACACCGAATCCTTCCTACCAATCAGGCAGCAGCCAAACCTCTCTAGGACAACTTTACCACCATCTGACCACATTTTAGCATATCAAACCTGTGCTGGTAGCTACTGATTGCCAGCCTGGAGGGGCCTGGAATCACTATGGAGACAGATCTCTCCACATGTCTATGAAGGAGGAGCCACCTTGATGTGGGGACCAGCATCCCATGAAGCTGCAGCTTCCTGAGGGAAGACTCTTGCCTCCACACCCTCCCTACCACGAGAGCTGTGTCCTCAAGGCCTGTGAGTCCCAACAAACCCTTCTATCCTGCCTCCCCTATCTCTCTACCCTCAAGCCACCCACCATAAGAAGAGGCAGACTCGAGGGGAGCTGGAGTGTGGTGGCCTCCGCTCCTAATCTTGGACACAATATCCCAGCTGGCTGAAAGCTAATTTGCGAGACAAATCTCTCTCAATGCTGCATCTCCTTCATGGGAACCTCCAGTTGAGTAAGGTCAGATGACACTTGCTAGAGGCTATCCATACCACCGTAGTCTATAAAATAGTTCAGCAGTGGTAGACATGACTGGCTAAGGGCTGTCTGTGCAAATCAGTTGAAACCCAGAGTTCTCACACTACAAATACATGGACAGCAATACAGACTTTAGCACCACAGCGACAGTAAGATTAATCACAGACTTCATCTGAGGAACAGTGGGAAGCGTCCGGTGTGTACCCGCTCCGCCAAGCCAACAAGATGCCTCTGAGAGCCAATGCCCTTCCACTGACGAGCAAGATGGGTTCAGAAGCTGCGGCAGCTAGGAGCCGAAGCGTGGACCCTTCCTGTAATTGGCCCTGGCGGAGATGATGACAATATAAAAAGATACCAGAGAACTAGAATTTCCCCAGGAATCTCAAGCCCAAGGGAGGAAAAGGCTGGAGCACGGTGCCGGCCAGAGGAGCTCTGAGAACTCATCAGAGCGCCTTGCAGGACGACAGCCTGGACAAGGGTGATGGATGTGACCACACCTGAGCGTGACCAGGTCTGCTTAACTATGCATGTAGAGCCCTCTACCTAAACCACATCCTCAAGTCAGGACCCAGGGGACAGACGCAGTGGGTAGGGTGGGGGTCTCTTTGTCCGTCTCCCCGGTGTGGCCAAGCTTCAGAGATTTCCTTCCTGTGTGCTTCGCCGTTAATTTGGCTCATGTCTATTCTTATTAATGAACAAGCCTAGCTTGTCAGGGTTGCCAGGGACACGGAGGCTCTGACCCTAACCCTGGGAACCCTCTGGACTGTGCAGACAGGAGCACCTAACATCAAGGGGAAAATAATACCCAATATGTCCTTGGACGGCTAAGCTGGACCTGAGAATTGATGATTTTGTTTTGCAGGAGTTTGTGATGTTCTAAGACGCTGACTCCAAAACCAGAGGGGCACAGCCACGTGCACCTGTAATGGCCCCCGGGGAGGTGGGAGATCAAGGGGCTAGCCTGGGCTTCCCCCGTGTATCTCACTGCAATTAACCTGGCAATCCAATAGGGGAGGGATTCGTTCATTTCGCTTTTGAAAACTGATTCATGCGGGCCTTCATTTCCTGTAATTCATGGAAACACGAACATATGCTACCTATCCGAGACTCTGACTGTCCTCACGACTACTGTCACCTCTACAGAAAACCCACACTGGAAAAGGCTCTTGGGAGAGCAGCAAACACACACACACAAGCCGGCTGGTGAAGAAGCCAACTTTCTGAGTCTTTCATTAAATATTTGTAGTGTTCAGGATAGAAAGAGTCAAGCGACACAGGACCCTATGATTCTTGGAGCATCACTTCTAACTCTCGAACATAAATCTCACTTAATCCTGTGGATAACCACCAGAAGCCGTATCATGCCACTCATCATAGACACCAAATGCCAAGCAGGAGGAAGGCTAGACTCTCTTAGCTCAGTGGATTTCCAGAACATATAGTCACAAGAACGCTGCAGCGGCCCCTTTCTAGGAACATCTGCGGAGCCTGTTGGCGCGTGTTCCCAGCAGACCGCCGCGGCATCAATTCTGAGAGCCGAGAAGACATTATCAGGTCTGACCGGGAGGCAGGTCAGGGGTGTTAGTAGCGAAGCCATCTCATCTTACCTGGAAAAGAGTGGCTGTCACCTGTTTCTTGGAGAGATGGCTCTGAACATGTTCCACAGCTTGCTTTGAGAATGTCTTTAAAAAAAAAAAAATAAATGAAGGAAGTCAGACAGACAACATGCTTTTAATAAGGATGTGACATATCTACAGATCACACATTACAACAGATGGTTTGACACGGCGATCCTGTAAGGGTGACCCGTGGGCTCTCTGTACAGAGTCCAAGCCCATAGTGTCTTCTGGGTATCCAGAGTCCTTCTTTAGGTGCCCAGAATAGAATCCTCAGTAGCCAAGGTTCCCATGGCAACGGAGTGTAAGGAATCCCACCACTGCCTGACTACATAACCTCTTCCTTCCTCAGTGACAGTTCTATAGAGGCAAGCTGACTGTGGTGTCAGAGGAAATGGATTCAGGAATGTGCAGGGAGGAATTCTGCACAAGCTGAGGAGCCAGGCCACGGTGGCCAGTGGCCGTGAGAGCGGGAGATCTCACTGCTGTCCCAGCAGAGGGCAGCCGGGCAAACAGAACGGAACTTCCATGTGGGTTACAACTCCAGACAACTTTCAATGAAGCCTGCTTTATTCGAGTTGTTTATCGCTGATTGCTGGGAATCCTACGCATCTTGTAATTCACAGAAACATGAGAGTATGCCCTCGCTACCACAGCCACCTCCACAGAAAATTCTATACTGGAAAAGGCTTTCGAGGAGAAGCCGTTCTCCCTATACAAAGCAAACATACACAGGCCCGTCAGTGGAGAGCCCAGCTTTCTGAGTCTTATCATTTAAACCTCCGCAGTGTTCAGGATAGAGGCGGTCAAGCGGCATGCCTTGCAGCTAATGGTGTGTCGAAGGTTCTCAGAGCACTGCTTCTAACTCTTGAACATAAATCTCACTTAATCTGGAGGATAATCACCACAGACCATTTGAGTAAAATCTACTCTGCCAAAGCCCCCACCTCCCCCAACCCCCCATAGCTTGGCTGAGGGAAGCCATGTTCACACACACACAGGCTCCACAGAGCACGTGCATAATCTAGGGCACAGCCAAGGCGCAGTGGGCGTCTTGTTCCAACTCCGTCTACACAGCAGAGTGAAGCAGCAGAAGCTAAGAGGATCCAGCTTGTGCACAGACACCCACACATCACTGGCAACTGTAGTGCTAAGGCACGATGGGGACATCCAATCAGCCTTCCTGCCACAGCACAATGTTGGCCTTTGGGTTGCCACACGAAGCTCCAGGGTACTCTAGATAAGGCTGACAGGGGGCTCAGAAACAACGTCATCCAACTTTAGATAAATTCAAATAGCCTGGTGGCCATGACCCTGGATGGAGTAGGTGAAGACTATGTCCTTTATAAAATGGCCTGCATTGGTACAGAGGCATCTTCCACATGGCGATTTGTACCTTGATGATTAGTCTGCTTATTTCTGGTGAAGTCAATTCCTGAAAAATCTAGTTTATCCCAATTAGATTGTTTATCTGACTTCTGAGGAAGACAGTAATTTCACCCATTACTTAACTATTCATGAATAAAATTGACTTAACTATTCATGAATAAAATCAACATAGTAATTATAGTCCTTATTAATCCCAAGAAATCACTGATGATTTATATTAATTGAATTCGGATTCACCTAATTATTAAAGTACAGCTAAATTAAAACTAATAAAGCAGGCTAGAGAGATGGCCCAGTGGTATTTGCCTATCAAGCATAAGGCCCTGGTTCAATTTTACATTCCCAAACAATACATCAACACTAAACATCATATCATCCCAAGTCATACATTATCTTCATCAGTATTACACCACTGTCATCAACATCCTTACCATCATCCTCACCATCATTATCACCATCATCACCATCATCATCGCCATCATCATCATCAACACCATCATCACCATCACCAGCATCATCACCATCAACACCATCATCATCACCAGCATCATCACCATCATCATCATCAACACCATCATCATCATCACCATCAACACCATCATCATCACCATCATCATCACCATCAACACCATCATCATCACCATCATCATCATCACCATCATCATCACCATCATCATCATCACCATCATCATCACCATCAACACCATCATCATCACCATCATCACCATCATCATCACCATCATCACCATCATCATCACCATCATCATCATCACCATCATCATCACCATCATCATCATCACCATCCTCCTCCTCCCCTCATCACCATCATCACATAATCACACCACCATCACCACACCATCAGCGGCAGCATCCAGGTGTGAAGGTGCATGCTTGTAGTCTCAGTACACAGGATGCTGAGGTAAAGGGATCAGGCGTTGAAGTTTAGTCTGGACTACATGGAGAGACCCTGTCAAACAATGAGGCTACGCAATGAGAATAAATCCTCGTTTCCTTCACCAAGCCTAGAATACAGACTTTTCTTCACAGTCCAAATGAGCCCTCTCACAGCATCCGCTTCTGGCAGTGCCAGCGTGGGCTTCAGGGAATAAAGCAAGCGTATGTATAGTATGGCAGGAGAATCGAGTCAGAAAACCCAGTACAGTTATGGGAGAAAAGAAGACCCAGATCCCGTCCCAGGATTGCAGCCGTACAGCTGTGCCCCTCCGGAAACACAGGCAGTGTGGCCCCCACATGGTGCTGTCTGGGGAACAGGCTGGCGTACTCACATGTGTACAGGACAGGAGCTCCCTCATGATGTAGGCGTCATACATCTGTCGGCTCCTGCGCAGCCGGTCCTCTTCGTTGTCCAGTTTCTCGTATTCTTTTATCTACATTTCCGGGAGTCAGCAAGTTAGCTTACAGCTTCCTAGAAACTGGCTTTATTTAGAACTATGACTGACCCAGCCAGGAACCCTTCCGTGAGAGAGGAGACAAATTACCGAGGCAGCGATTGATTCCCCTAAAAATGATGACGGGATGACAAGGTTGCATCAAGTTAGGCCCAGCTGGAGGCACAAATGTATTTCCCTCTGTGGGGACCCTGAGCCTTTTAATATGGGAACGAAGACTCCTGTGGCCACCGTCATCCTGAAGGACAGCAGCCAGGGGCCCTCTGCCTGGCCAGCTCTCACCAAAGGGCAGATCTTCTGATATGGCTGTGCTTAAGCTCTGAGACAGAGCTTGTTCAGCCCTGAGGCAGAGCTTGTTCACATCCTACCAGAGTTCCATCATCATCATCGTCGTCGTCAGGAGGAAATTAGTCGGGATTCGTCATGAGATTTCCAAGTCGTATGAAGAAGGTGTGTATTGGGAGGTAGAATGGACCCCTGGATAAAAGCATTGGTTTCCCGCCACTAGTGTAATTGCAGGCCTGGTGTGGTGTGCATGGATGTTTACTGCAGTTCTCCGGAGGCAGCGACAGGAGGAGTGTGGCCAAGGCTAGCCTGGGATACATAGCCAAACAGTGGGAAGGAAAGACGTTCACACTGTATTTCAAACGCTATGCTAGGAAAGGCTGCCAGTTGACTAAATGAAATGGGGTTTAGGGTCAGCTGTCATGTGTACGAATGGTCCCGGTTGCTGAATTGTGACCACAAGAGGTTCCTGGTCAGAAAATAATTGTTCCCATTTCTGTGCACACGTATTTTGACGACACAAGACAAAACGGAAGACAATGGAATATGAAGGCAGGGACATTTGCCACACGCCACCACACTGCTGCGTGTGACCTGGCCTCATGGTCACACCCGCGAGCGGTCCACCTTGGCTGGGAGAAACAGGGACCTCCCTGTGGGAGTAGCTTTGACCTTACAGACTGATGTTCACAAAGCCCGTCAGTCCTATGACGATTCCTCATACAGATGAGGTCATAGCTTGAAGGGTCAGTGATGGGGGACGCCCTTCTGCGTATATGTTTCTCTTATTGGCTGATGAATAAAACACTGTTTGGCCAACAGAGGCAGGAAGATAGGCGGGGCTAGGAGACGAGGAGAATTCTGGGAAAGTTAGGCAGAGAGGCACTGGAAAGGGGACACCATGAAGAGCTCGAGAAGACAGAACGCAACAAGCGTTCTCTGGTAAGATAAGACCATGTGGAAATACTTACATGAATGGAAATGGGTTAATAATTAAGACAGAGGTAGCCAGTAAGAAGCCCTAGCCATCGGCCAACAGCTTAATAATTAATGTAGCATCCGTGTGTTTATGTAGGGCTCAAGAAACCCCTGCAACAGGGCAGTGTCCCACCGAGGCCCTGTAACAACTAGCTGGGAAACCTGAGAAATTGCTGGGATCCAATCAGCAATGTAGCATGGTGGCTATCCATCATGCCTATTGGACTTCTGGGGCTTGGAATGGGGTGTTCTTGGGGCAGGCAACAGTCACGGTGGGGCCAGCAGCCCAAGAGGATCAGAGGTCTCTTCACAGCAGCAATGCAGTGAAGCTGTCGTAACTACGGGACCAGATTCAACCCTCCTACCCCGGTTTCTGAAAACTAACCACACGGCAGCTGCAAAGATGCTATTGCCAGGTGGCCAAAGTCAGGCACAAATGTACTCAAAGCCATCAGAGAGGACAGGACTGTGGCTTAGTCCATTCCTCTGCTTGTTAACGCCTCTGGTTTCATTTTGGTTTTGGGAGATTCAAGGGTTAATGCCAGAAGGCCTGGATACTAGAACAGATGCAACCCAAGCAGAGGCCAAGGTTTGTCGTCCCTTGGCAGGCAAACAACCTCAAGCCTTAGCGCACTACCCCAGAACTAATATCCTGAACACAAGCGAAATGGGATTCGAGTCCAGGAGGCCCATGAGGCAGAGTGGCATCTGGTGAGTCACATGCTAACTCCCTGGAAGTCTCCATGATTTGTCCCCTGCTGCTACGTAGGCAATCCTGGCTTCCTGAACAAACGAGGCACACTGTGTCTGTGATCTGAGTCCCGAGTCTGGCCAGCCCTAAGCAAACACCAGACCGAGTAGAGTAGAGCAACCACTGGACCAGCACCTAAACTCACATCTCTCTTCCTTCCGGAAGGCCCAGCTCAGGAATAAAGAACAGGCCACCAGCCGTGACTTCCCTGGGTCAAAAGGAACTCTTAATTCAGTAACCCCACCTCCGATGCTGGCAGGAGGGCTGACCAGGCGCTTACGTAGGCAGGACCACGTTAGAGGTATGTCCATGCTGAGGGACAGAAGTACCAGCAGGGATGACAGCATGCCCCCATCATGCAGCTGGTCTCTGGGCACACATGGCCCCGGCCACAGCTGTGTCCTATCCCCACCTCCCTGGGATCTGAGTTCTGCATCCCCTGGGCTTTGCCTCCATTCCTCTTAGTCTCCTGTTGGCTTCAAAGCACTGGACACCCTGTAAGGCTCTTATCACCAGCCACGCACACCTTAGGGAAAGCTATCAGAAGCCAGCAGCAACAAGCGCACATTTGAACTTTCCTACCGAGTAGCTACAAAGATGTGCACTTGAGGTCACCTGAAAGAGCCCTATCTCCACCGTGTCCCATCCTGGTTACAGTGAGGGTCATCGTGGACTCCACCCTTTGCCTACAGGCCGCACCCTGGTGTCTTCTAGCCCATCAGCGCCTTCACACATGTGCTTCATTCAAAATCCCATCACAAACCCGGATAACTAGCTTAGAGCAGAGTAGTCCTCCTGGGGCCGTGGCTGCCCATCCAAGGAAGCACCGGAGAGCATCCTAACAGTCAGGGATGATGGAGAAGGGACATCAGAGAGAAGCTATGAGAGAAGATCATTCTGGAGATGAAGAGCCACAAAGGCGAACTCCGAAATCCACGCAGCTATTCTGTCCACTTTGCTGGGTACGTGATGACGTGCCCAACCTCAGTGGCCCAGAAAGGCTGAGGAGCTGAACAAGACTCAGTGGCTACACACCACGCAGGGTGTGGGAGAGCCAGGTCAGTGTCTACTGGCACTAAACAACCCACACCCTTTTGGGAGTTTATGGTATCTTTGATTGTCGATTGCACTGGTGTGTGTGTGTGTGTGTGCATGGGCACAAACACGTTTGTTGTTCACCTGTGAAGGAAACTGACCCACACAGAAAAAGCAGGTCAATTCCAACAAGATCGGGGCTGGAATTACCAGGTCAAGTTCTGCAGTTGGTGATTATAATTAGACACAGCAGAACATCTGTGCGATAAAGGAAGGGATAAGGGGCAGCAAAAGGAAACAGAGGCACTACTTAGCTTTAATGTCACCTTGCTGTGGCCTAGAATCTTCCAGGAAGACAGGAATGCTGAGGAGTTTTCTACAGCAGGTGGCCTTTGGACAAATCATTGGAACTTTGTCTCGATTGTTAATTGATGTGAGTAGGCCCAGTCCATTGTGGGCCATTGTTCTCTAGGTGGGGAAGGAGGGTCCTGAACTGGGTGTGAGGAGAAAGTTAGCCTAGAGCAAATCAACAAGGAACAGCCTTAGGGTCTTCCTACTCTTGACTGTAGTGTGACCTGCTTCAAGCTCTTGCCTGACTTCAGCTACAGACTGAGACCCAGGATTTTAAGCAGAATAATCTCTTCCTCCCCTGAGTTTCTTGTCTGAGTATTTTATCTCGGCAACAGAAATGAAAACAGAACAGCAACTATTTTTAAAAAAAATCAACTGGAATTTTCAGAAGTGAAATTCTAGAATCTGAAATAAACTGCTAAGCAGATGGATGGATGGATGGATGGAAGGATGGGTGGATGGAAGGATGGATGGAAGGAAGGAAGGATGGATAGATGGATGGATGGATGGAAGGATGGAAGGAAGGAAGGATGGGTGGAAGGAAGGATGGATGGAAGAATGGATGGATGGATGGATAGATGGATGGATGGATGGAAGGATGGAAGGAAGGAAGGATGGGTGGAAGGAAGGATGGATGGAAGAATGGATGGATGGATGGAAGAATGGATGGATGGATGGATGGATGGATGGATGGATGGATGAGCAGGCTGCAGAAGCTGAGACAAAGGGCATGTAGATTTGAAGGCAAACCAAAGATATTATCCAATGTCTGGAAAAGAAAGAAAAAAACATTGACAGAAACACAGAGCCTGGCATTAAGGTCAACAGGGAAACATCCACCAATCATGAAAATGTGGCCAGGGTCCCAGGAAGAGGGGAGAGCATAGCTCTAAGAGATGAGCGTCCCAGTCACTTCAGATTTGGTTAAAGATGTAAATGGGAAGGCCCAAGAATTTCAGCAAACTCTGCAAATCAAGCATGACATCTAAAATCAAGGAGAGCAGACACTGCCAGACGCTTGTGCCTACAACGAAAACCCTGCAAAGACACAAGCCATGCGAGCCCGGAAGAGACCTCCCCAGATGCGCGGGGACGAAGGAAGAACCCAGTTTAGGACAAAGGAGGGCTTGCATGAGAGACAGGGCAGGGCACCTCATACAGCGACATCCCAGTGTGAGCCTGACCCCAGAGCTCCAACATACAGGGAAAGGGACAGCAGAAATCACAAAGGCCCAGCAGAGTGGGAGGCTTTAACCCCTCACTCGCGGTAGGTGACAAAAGTCAGAGGTTGAAGTGAGTCAGGATGAAGGGCATAGGACTCACGGCAGAGGCCACCGGGCAGCACACCTGACACGCCCTTTTCCACACCAGAACCCGTCACGCTGTCTGTGGTTTAACTCGCCTGCCTTCCCCACCCCCCACTTCCACGCTGCCACGCTCCCCCCACCCTGGCACTTGTGTGGCCTCCTGTGCTCCGCTGACCCCACCTCCAAGGGGCCAGTCTTGTCTGTCCTTGTTTAAATGCCACCCTGCTGAGATGACCTTGAACTCATCCACGGAGAGTGGCCACCAGCCCACAACGCACCACACTGAGTCTGTCTGGGCCACTGGAGCAGTTCTTATGCCTGGGGACACTTCGCCAGTTAGTTGGCTCTCTCTACCAGAGCATAAGCTCAGAGACAGACAGGACTCTGTCTTTTGTTCACTGCATGTACGACACACCAGGCATGCAGCTGGCGTTCAAAGGATAGGCTGACCGAGCGGGGGCAATAAAAACTCTCTGCTGTTACAGTCTCTCTCCTAAGATTGCCTATGTCGTGACGGGCGTCCTGCGAAGCGGGCAGGAATGACCACCCAGCTCACTGAACCTCAGGCTTAAGTCCCCGTGATGTAAGCTCCTTGAGTGCAGGGAGCTTGGCACCTTACACGCCAGAGATGGCCATGTGACTTGTCTCACATCTCGTATCACCTAGAGGGCGTGGTGGGAAGGGGCAGGATGGACTTGGGACCCTACCAACTCTGCCTTCTAAGCGTGGGATCACAGGCCTGTGCCACCCACCCCCTTCCCGCTTCTGCTCACCCCCACCCACTTCCACCCCCTTCCCAGGCTTCTATCCCCCCCCAAAGTCCTCGCCCCCGCCCGGCTTTTAAAGTACTTGCCGATTACTCCACTATTTCACTCATCGGACCACCCATCTACCCTGTCTTTGTGTCCTGTCACCTTGCTTCCCGAATCCGTCAGGGGAAGACTCTCCCTATGCCCATGTGTCTTGAAGGGCAGGGTCCTTCCCAGCTGCGATGGTTTCAGTTGAGTCCCGGAAACCTCTCCATTCTCTGCCTCCCACTGAAGCAGCATCTCTCTAGCCAGTGGGGAGCCTGAATTCCCAACTACCCAGTTTACCCCCAAAGAGTGGCTGTACATTAGCAGATCACCCCACCAGGGTGTCCCTTGCTTACACATTGGCTCCCAGGAGGTCTGCATTGTTAAGTCCCATGAGGCTAAGTTAGAGGTCAATGGACCTTCCAGAAAAATTCTACCCTTCAGGCCCCTCCAATAGCAAACTTCACCCAGTATCTCGGGGAAAGCAGATATACGTCCGGGAGCCCCAGACCCCACAGAGTTCCCAAGAGAGCCAGGAAACCTCGGGTTTTAGGTTCTCTTTCAAACCCAGCAACCTCCAGCCTGGGCATGGACACAACCAACGTGGCACAGCCTGTGACCTCCGAATGACTCTGGAACCTCTAGTCACTGCATTCTTCCTTCCTTGTGCTCCAACACCTCTAGATCAGTGGTTCTCAACCTTCCTGATGCTGCAGCCCTTAATGCAGCTCCTCATGTCGCAGTGACCTCTCCCCCCCCAATCATAAAATTATCTTCGTTGCTACTTCACAGCTATGACTTCATTACTGTCCCGAATCATAACGTGAATATCTGATAACGCAGGATACCGGATATGCGACCCCGTGAAAGAGTCGTCGGATTCCCCAAAGGGGTCACGCCCCACAGGTTGAGAACCACTACTCCAGAGCCTACACTGTGTGTGCATCAAGCCCCCCCTGGCTTGTGGGTATGGCCAGCCCTGCTAACTCCATGGCCACCACCAAGTTATTGAATGAACTTCTGAGTTGCACAAGGTGTTCGCGATCCTTAATACTTTTCCAGCGTTAAGCCGAACGAACACCCTTATGGGAGGGAGGGAACTGCTAGAGAGGGCTGGGTCTCACCTCTTCATAAAACTTCACCTGCGGAACCGCTTCGTCGATTTCATTCAAACAGAAGTCTTTAAATAGCAGGAAGCCTAAAGGAAAAGAAGGGGAAACTTCAGCTGGGGAAATGAGGGAATTTTATCCTACAGGACTTCCTCAAAATAACAAGTGCATAACTCAGTATCTCCCTCCCCTTCAGAGAGAGGGGGGGGGAGAGAGAGAGAGATCTTCAGAGAGAGAGGGGGGAAAGAGAGAGAGGAAAGACCGAGGACACGTGGGAGGGATGGACCTCAGGTGACTGTACCATACATATCTGGGTTGCCATTTCTTTTCCCCTCTGTTTATGGCCCCTCCCCTTGTTTAAATGCACACTATCACCATCACCTGAGGCCACACGGGTCACTATAGCGAATCAACAGTCCATGAGGACAGATATAGAGCCCAGGGGGCCCATGAGTCCACCACAGGACACCTGTGGAAACAAGGCTTACACGGCCCTTCTAGCCCCTTCCCTCAACCCTCACTCATTGCCTCACATCCCAGCAAACACATGGACAACAGCAAGCTACCGATTCTCAAGGGACTCTTTGCTCAGGACACCTTGAAGACAGCCATGTCTTATGCCTGGGACACCCCAGCTCCCTGCCCCCCATAAATACTTCTGAGACTCTTAATTGCCTCCAAAGTTGCTCAAAGAGCCCCCTTTGCTCTGAGGTCTGTCCTGGATAAGAAACAACACTAGAGTCCATACGAGTCTGTGCAAGACTGCTCAAAGGTGAGTGTGCAGGTTAATGTGTGAAGTCTAGATGTCAAGATCAGGTGTCTCCTGGAATCTGCCTGTCTTTGTGTTCCCAGAACTGGTGGGCAGAGGTGAGCACAGATACACCTGGGTTTTCAGACGGGTGCTAGGCATCCAAGCTGAGATCCTCAAGCTTGCACAGCAAGCTTATCTCATGGAATTGCACGGAGCAGCCTCTGGCCCAGGAGATTGTACCCCTTTCCACAGCTCTCCCCACAGGCCTCCCGGGAGACACCCGCCAGCCCGCCCGCCACTCTAGCTGGTTTTCAGAGTCCCAAGCCTCCTGTCTTTCAGAACCCCAACACCTAGCAGAAGCCTCACAGTGGAGCCTGAACAAGTCAAGCACACTGAGGGTAGAGAAGGAGGAATCAAAGACTCCAGAAGGGTGGGGGCTGGGAAGATGGCTCAGCCAGTAAAGATGTCTGCCTGCCTAACAGAAGAGGGTGCTAGATCTCCTGGAACTAGATGTGAGGTGGACAGGAGCTGTCAGGGTTGAGTTCTGGTATCTGAACATCCCGGCCCCTGGGAGAGCAGTTACTTTGTTTCAGTCGCACAAGGTGGCTGGGCATGAGAGAGGCCCCCAAGGCAGGCGAGGCTGCAGACCCCCCAAGGCAGGCGAGGCTGCAGATCCCTCCCCCAAGGCAGACGACGGACTGTGAGCCACATTGGGTGGCAGAGGACACTGTGTGCACACGTGTGTGTACACAGAGCTGTCATGGACAACCAAAGCCATGGCTTATTCACAGAGCACTCATCCTGTGCACCTCCAAACTGGGAGTGCCAGGAAACCCACAAAGAGCTGAGAGACATCCAGAGGAAGGATGATAGTGGAGACAGGCAAAGGAGGATACTAAGAGGGCCACTGCCCGTGTGGGTGTAGACTGTGAGCATTGCAGTGGTCAGCTCCCTGGTGGATGTGGGCTGTGAGCACCTCAGAAGAGAGCTCCCTGGCAGTGAGTGTAGCATGGGCAGCTCAGAGAGAAACCCTGTTCTTAAGACGAAACGTATTCATGTTAGCAGGGGCATGGCATATCCAATTCAACAAACGACACACACCCACACATTCAAACACTCTCACATACACACACATATACACACCCACACACACATATACATACACACACATATACTCCCATACACACTCAAACACTCTCTCTCACACACATACACACACACATATACACAGAGATACACTCCCAAACACACTCTCATATACACTCACACACATACACACTCACACACTCTCACACTCACACACACACACTTTCACACACACACACAAAGAAAAGAAAAAAACCACGAGACTAAGAAGAAACTAAAGGGGACAAAGAGCTCAGGGCTTCCAGAATGAGGCTCCTTAATCTGCTTTGGGGACTAAGGACACTTAAAATGACAGAAAATACAATCTATTTTTAAAAAGACAATATATAGCCAAGTGCTGCCCACTTCCAATCCAGCACCCAGAAAGCTGAGGCAGGGGGACTGCTAAAATTCTAACCAGCCTGGGCTATATGGTGGATTCTAGTCTGGTCAGGACTACAAGATGAGACCATGTCTTAAAAATAAACAACAAAACAGTGTCAGGGGAAAAATAAGAAAAATAACTTCTGTGGTTACATAATTTCCTGGAGGAGCTATTTTATTATGCTGGGGAGATAACCAGGCTCTCACCTTTAACAATTAAAAAATTTTATGTGGCCAATAATAGAAACAAATGCTATCAAGTGGGGTCCTTTTGTAATTAGCTATTTCCTAAGCACTTGAGATTGTTGAATTTGGCACTAAAAGAAAAAAAAAAAAAAACTTTGAGTACGTTACATCCGCCAGCAAACAGGAAAGGATGGAAATGCTAATATAATTTACCTGGAGTGCATGAGTAAGATCTAAGATTCACTGCAATTAACCCGATGCTGAGGGCGGAGAGAGGAGTCACAAAGTCAACCAAGATCAGGCGGCTACTTCGACCTCCCACACTTCTCTCCAGCACCTTCAGGAACCACTGAGCGAGGATGAGTGCCTTCCTGCTCTGCTACCTCATCGAGCGCCTCAAAACAAATTTGCTTATGCCAGCATCTTGCATGGATCACGTGGATTACCCGGAAACTGCTCATGTGTTGTGCCTGCTTCGCTCAAGTGAACAGGCTCACAAAACCCATGTCGTGTTATTCTAGCAGTTGTGTGTGTTCCAGCGAGAAGGGGGAGGGAGGGAGAGACTTTGGGCCAGTGAGATAGCTCAGTGAGTAAAGGAGCTTGCTGCCAAGCTGACAACCTGAGTTTGATCCCCAGGACCCATGTAGCAGAAGGAGAGAAGTGAATTCCACCGGTGCACCTACACACACACACACACACACACACACAGAGAGAGAGAGAGAGAGAGAGAGAGAGAGAGAGAGAGAGAGAGAGAGAGAATAAATAATGCTATGATGGTGGTACCTGCCTTTGATCACAACACTCGGGAGGCAGAGCCAGGTGGGTCTCTATGAGTTCAAGACCAGCCTGGTCTACAGAGTGAGTTCCAGGACAGCCTCCAAAGCTACAGAGAAACCCTGTCTTGTAATAATAATAATAATATTTTTTTAAGGAAGGGTCTTGGGTCAGTCTCCAGAGGCTCTTCAACAAAGTGAATAGAACAATCTCATTGTGGGACCATTGGTGGACACCAGCTTAAGTGGCACTCATGGTGTCAAGAGCAGAGGACAGTGAAGCAGAAGTAAGTCGGCTGTAGGAGACACTGCGAGCTGGCAGCACTCAGACAGGAGACGCCAGAAACTCCTGGCCCAAGCATCAAAATAAAATTATCCAAAGGGTAGACAGTGAACACTCACCATAATCGTGTTGTGCAGAATAGCAAAACGCCCTGGTAATAAAATCATCTGTGTTGCATTTTTCTTACAAAGTTTCAAAGGTTAAGCCGAGAAGCTCCAGATTCAACATGAAAAATGTACAGCCTAAAAACACTGTCTTGAAAGAGTAGTGCATGCCTAGAAACTGAGCTTCAACGCAATAGAAGATTTCACTGTGCCGCGACCAGATCTACTAGCTCGATAGATTTACTTCAAGCTTCGGTGCATAGCACCACAAGACACCGTACAGTACACAGCAGTGTAGTTCATCACAACACCAAACGGTGCAACATCCAGGAACAAGCCTAGCTAGGTACGTGTGTGACCCCTGGGCTAAAACACCGATGCATACAATCGGGAAAAAAATAACAAGTAAGCAGAGAGAAACACCATGTTTGTAGTCAGGAAGAGTCAAGCCCACCTTTGTCTTAGTGTGATCCCAGTGCAAGGCTCAGCGGGAAATTTTGTAAACATTGTGGCCCAACAAACTCTAACAGGTATGTAAAATAAGGCAGGACAGTAAAGGTAGAGGCTGGGACTACCTGGGAATGTATTCAACTCCAGCCTTCCATGTGCTGTGCATGTACACAGAGCCGTGGGCAGAACAGAGGACAGGCAGACAGGGACACAGCCAGCGGCTTTTTAAACACGCGCAGCTCGAGGCAGAGTGCGGACTTTGGAGGGACTCCTGAACCTCTGTCAACTGCAACTGCTCGCTTGGCCTGAACAACAAGAACCGCTAAGAAAGTTGCAGCCAAACGGATCCCAAGAGGACCGTGGGCTCCAGGTTATGAAGGTGGCAGAGAGAACGAAGGAGAAGGGCTTTGCAACTCCGAGGTTAGCCAAGGCCACTAACAACACAGCCAAGTGCACTTTGGTATGCATTAGAGCTTCTGTGTTAAAAGCTTCGAAAGAAGTCTGAGTATTTGGAGGAAGATGCCTGCCTGCAAGCCATGTGTCCGGGAAAGGCCTTGCACTTGGGACCCTCGGAAGAACTCTGAAAACTCCACTATAGGCACAATTCAATAAAACTGCTCGAGTAAAAGAACTTACTCCTTCCACCTCCCAAAACACATAATACCGGTAGGCGGAGCCACGTCCAGCATCCTCAACCACTGGAACGAGGGGTCAGACTCTCATGTGTCTCACATACAGGATAATAAAAGGAATCTTGGACAGGAAATGGAGAAGCAAATTCATAAGGGGGGGAGGGAGGCACATAGCGAAACAGACACCACACCACATGCCGGGCTGCTCCCAGCTGATCTGAGCAGCCCACGTCGCCAGTCCTCAGAGCTCTCCGTCTGGATCTGTCTCAGTTCCAACAGGAGCCAAGAATTATAATAAACGGAGCACATAGCTAACTGCTTCCACGTCTTTTAAGTTAAACGTGTAGTGTGTGTGTGTGTGTGTGTGTGTGTCCATGGCAAGCATGTGGAGATCACAGGAG